AGATAGGTAGATAGGTAGATAGGTAGATAGGTAGATAGGTAGGTTAGATAGGTTAGATAGGTTAGATAGGTTAGATAGGGTAGATAGGTTAGATAGATGAGATAGATGAGATAGATGAGATAGATGAGATAGATGAGATAGATGAGATAGATGAGATAGATGAGATTGATGAGATAGATGAGATAGATGAGATAGATGAGATAGATGAGATAGATGAGATAGATGTGATAGATGAGATAGATGAGATAGATGAGATAGATGAGATAGATGAGATAGATGAGATAGATGAGATAGATGAGATAGATGAGATAGATGAGATAGATGAGATAGATAGATTAGATTAGATTAGATAGATAGATAGATAGATAGATGGATAGATGGATAGATGGATAGATGGATAGATGGATAGATGGATAGATGGATAGATGGATAGATGGATAGATGGCTAGATGGCTAGATGGATAGATGGATAGATGGATAGATGGATAGATGGATAGATGGATAGATGGATAGATGGATAGATAGATAGATAGATAGATATAGATAGATAGATAGATACATAGATGGATGGATGGATAGATAGATAGATACATAGATGGATGGATAGATAAATAGATAGATAGATAGATAGACAATCAGAGAAAGAGAGAGAAAGAGAGAGAAAGAGAGAGAAAGAGAGAGAAAAAGAGAGAGAAAGAGAGAGAAAGAGAGAGAAAGAGAGAGAAAGAGAGGAGACTTCAATCACCTTTCGGTCCATCAGTGGATTCGCTCTGCCATCCGTGATTCACAACAACCAACCTCTCATAGGTTTCCTATTTGCAAACTTCCGCCACCTTCAATCACCTTTCGGTCCATCAGTGGATTCGCTCTGCCATCCGTGATTCACAACAACCAACCTCTCATAGGTTTCCTATTTGCAAACTTCCGCCACCGCCTTGTGCGGTACTAATGGTAAAGATATAAATATGTATAATTATATTATATTATATTATATCATATCATACTATATTATTTTATATTGTATTATATTATATTTTATACACACCAAGATATAGCAAGGCCACCAAGGCCGGACATATACAATATCATGTAATATTGCCATCTATAGTTGGTTATACTTGGTTTATAATCCCCATCAACGTGACCCTCCGCTTGTACCAGCAAGAATTGCGTTCTAGTAACGAAATATAGTACTTTTACCGTTTTCGGAGGGTCTTTGGGGGGGTTGTCTGAAAATAGGGAATCCACAGGTTTATCCTTATTTTCCCTATTCTGACGACTCGTCTGACGACCATGATTGACACATAGTCCATTTTCAGACAAACCAATATATATATATATATACACATGTATTTGGGAGATTAGTGGTTGATACATTTTCAATGGAAGATTTCACCAGTATATATATATATGGGAATGAATGGATATATATATATATACATACAATTATTCATATATATGTGTATATACATACATATATATACAAATATTACTTATATATATATATATAGCCAGCTTGATATCAACTTGATATGATATCACCCTCCGGTGTCATCAAACCTGGCTGGAAAATCCTCTATAAATGGAGGTTTCAATGGGAAAGTCACCAAACAGCAAGCCATGTGTGATTGCTGCCGGCTCACATGGATATACAGCAAGTAACAAATATGTTGACATGCAGCCAAAATTGATAGCAACTGGTAGGCATCACACAAATGTTTGATGTAGGCTGGATTTTCCAAACATGTCTATATGCAACATGCACTACCCCATGTTGAACATTAGCTGGGTGGTGTTTTTAATTTTGCTACACATCATTATATGATAACTTAGAATAAGCAAAGACATACAAAGTCATACAAAGTATACAATTTGATTACGTTTGATTACTAAGGATATGGCTGATGATTTTTTATATGTTTTCCCAAGTTCTCCCTATACCTTTACCATCCAAACGAGCGATGGAAATGCCGCGGCACGCAGGCGTCAGTTGCAGGACTTGTATCGCGAGATGCGTAAGATGCGCGCAGACGACGGGCATCGCCGCGCCAGCGATTCGGAGTCGGACGAAGGTCGCGCCAGCTGGGCAGTTTGGAATGGCTGAAAGGTGGGATGTTTTGCTCGGAAAGGTGGGTTGTTTCATGAGATTTTTTTTGAAGTTTCACAAGGTTTCATACTACGAATATGAGATTTTTTAAGGTTTCATAAGATTTCATGAGATTTCATAAGGTTTCAGAAGTCATGAGGGATCCAAGGTGTCATTAAATGTTTTTATGGTTATTGTTGCACTTATTGATCATGGTCACTTTGTTTGTTAACAGGGATACTCATTTTTTGGAGATCGTGGACTTTTGGGCAAAGATTGGACCCGAAAACCACCGCCGGGTCGGTGTATTTTCCAGCCATCGTTTGATGACCGGAGGGTAACCATACCGGATATCATGTGGGTAAAACAATGCCATAAACGCGCCATCCCCCAGTCATCACCAGTCCCAGTCATAGCTGGTTTATGGCATTGTTTTACCCACATTAGCTGCAGATTCGCCAGTTTTGATCTAGTTCCCCCATCGAAAACCAATATGAAACAACCTTGCCTGACTTGTTCTATGTGGAGATAGCCACTTTGTGGTGGAGATGTATTTGTGCGACAATTTTTCTATGGACAAAAGGGAATGTCGTGTTCACTTATGTTCACCCCTGAATTTCTCGAAAATTCCTGCATTTTGGGGTCATCTTTGACCCGGCCAGAAGTGCACGGCTTCGCGGATGATGAGGGAGAGGAGGATCAGGTGGCTGCTCTCTGCGAGGCCGTCCGCAAATCATAGGATTGATAGGTACCCTCTGGTTATGACTAACATAGCCATGGTATAGATGGCCCATTTATAGAGGTTTACCTATTAAAAACGGTGATGTTCCATGGCCATGTTAAATAACCAGAGGGTATCATATAATTATATAGATGCATATGTATGTTTTCTAAGTTTCCATGGTGATTGGTTAGATGATCGGGAGACAGGAGGATTCAATTTGTTGGGTTTCTTTCTGGTTTTGCTTTCAGAATTAGGGAAATGTTCACATCAACATCAACATCCACATCATCATCATCATCATCATCATCATCATCATCATCATCATCATCATCATCGCATCATCATTCATTCCATTCAACATCTCAACCTGTGCATTCCAACTATTGAGGTCCGCAGTTAGATTAGTTTGATTTACACCAGCTGTTGAGCTGTGTTTGTGCATCGGTTAGCCACTTGCTCATTGGCATGCACATCAAAGTAAACCATATTCAAGAAATCCACATTAGTGTCATCACCCATTCCATTAGAGTTCCAGAACAGATGACTATTCTCTAAACTACTCTAAGTGAGAAAGTAGAACTCCCCAGGCTTGACGAGATTGTTTCCTGCGTGCTGGGCTTGTGGCTTCGATGTGGCGACTTTCATGACTTTGTTGAGATTTCAAAGTCCTCAAAGCGGTGCCCCTCTCAGTTGGGCTTGTTGGTATTCTCAGCCCAGTACTAGTTCGATATCTCTACTGTAAACCCACCTTAGCTGCCTAATGTTTCTTTTGTCATGTAGATATTCGGGTGTGTGTGAAAAGGGTGTATACATGTGTATACCCCCACATGGCACCCTTTGAATGTGGAAATGTTCTGAGAATCCAACGGATTTGGAGGTACCCCGCATGTTGTTTAGACAAACCCATATGCCCCAGCTTGTATTAGATTAGTTCTGGTGTATCTATTCGCTAATTAGTTGTTTCATGTTGTATCTATTCACTATCTTTTCATAGGTATATACATATTGGCATATTTGTTATATGAGTGAACTACACTAACGTTGTCGCGAGTCCATAGTGGTTGCCAGGCCCTGAAGAAGGCACAGCTGAGCCCAGAGGCTGAGAAGATCGCGCAGCGGGAGTTGAGGCGTTCTGCCGGTTCCGGACGGTGAAGTTGTCGTTTTTGTTGTTGTTTTTTCTTGTAAGGAAAATCCATTCAGAAATAATGAACAAATATGACACCAAACTTTACATGGATGGAACAAAACAGATATTTGAAGTTCGAATTATTTTTCAGGTGGTTTTGCGAGATTAATTAGCATAAATGATTTTAGATAAAGATTATGGTGCCTTGGGTCGAAAATCCAAATCTGCACAATACGGAAGATCAAAGATGCAAGTGGCAAAGCAGGTCTGGTTGTTGCCTCTCCATGTGGAAGATTGAGAGTACCCTTCAATCATCAAACATGGCTGGAAAATGTGTTGTTGTTTTTTTCCATTGCCAGGGTCTTTGAAGGAAACTTCCAACATCTTCCAACCCTGAGTCCCCCTTTAGCAGAGAGATCATCGCAGGGAGAATGTCATTTCCAAAAAACCATGAAGCGATGAGGCTCGGAGGTTTCCTAAGTCATAGGCTTCGCCAAATCACTCATTTTTTTGATCATTTTAGTCATTGGTAAATTGGGGTCCCCAATTTAGGATATCCCATGATGGCGTTTTCGGTTGTACATCCCTAGCTTCGTCCCTCATCGTCCCCATCCTGGGGTTATCTCAGCTTGAAGGCCCATATTTTGCTGGTCAAAAATGCCGACCCAGAAAACACCAGATTTCATTTAAGTTTCACCATGTTTCACCCTTTTCAGTAGTAAAGCTTAAGCCATTTGCTAGTACCTCAATTGACCATTTGTTTGACCCATGGCATCCCATGGCCACATCTGTTTTCACTCAGCCCGAGGCGACTTCAAAACATCCAACCACACCACCCAGAGCACTCGGTCTGCCGGAGTTATTTGGTGCCTTGGATGCTATGGATGTCGTGGAGTCTCCTGGTGGTGGTGGGATTTGGCACCGGAACACCCGAGCCGCGCCGCGCTAAGGAAACCTTGGCGAGCTTACCTTGGGCGTTGAGTTCAGAGGCAGATTTCAGTGAGATTTATCCTTAGCAGGAAGAATTGTCCCAAGGATTTGTTTCGGGTTTGTGTGAACATTTTGGGAATGCCTCAAAGAAAGCCTCAAATCCATTGGAAACAATCATTTTCCCTATTGAAGCCGAGAGAAATGGAGTGTACTGCTTTCGGCAGACCCGGTGACTGGCTGAAAGTTGTCGGCCTGGTCGGAGTGCTGCCAAAGTCTCCCTTTTGAGGGTTGGGTCACAAGTTGCAACATTCCATTTGCCCTGAACATAAGGCGAAATACCTGGTGTTTTTCACATGTCAATTGTTGCGCGGACCCTATTTTGATAGGAATCCTGGAATCCTCACTTTTCAAACTATACACAATACATTTATTTTTTAACATATATGTATATACATATATTATGCATATCGATATTCACATTCACATATAGTACATATCTAATATCTATGTATTCATCTATGTATACACACATTTACAGTTACCAGTTACTAGTACATATATATATTATAATAGCTACTTTGAAGGTGACACAGAACTAGGAATGAATAGTTTTTTTTTTAATGCCTGGGTCTGGGTCTCTCACAAAAAACCGGCTCCCAATGAGCAAATAGTGGGACATAGCCAGCACAGCCGTATCCTGTGATCAACACTATGTACGTGGAACCAACACTATCTACGTGGCAAGGGAACACTATGTATGTGGTTCGAAATGATTATAACAGTACATTTTAGATTAACAACATTCATTCCATTTCATCCGCATGTTAGAACTACGAAATTATTTTAGATTCATTACATTCATTCCATTCCATGTTTGTTGTATGAATGTCCCGATGTTTACCAATATCGTTCACAGGTTCACCACATTTCACAACACGTCACGGTCATGTCAACGGAGGACGACTTGGATCTCAGCACTGCTCACAGCATTCTCGAGAAGGACCCGTTAAAGGTGGTATGAACAATACCTTGGTTGATTAAGCCAAAGAGTCAAAAACTACCTCGTTTATTGGAGATTATGATAAGTCATAGTACTTAGACCTTCTGGGATCGTACCCCAGAAAAAAATGTGTTTTACCATGTTTTACACCATGATTCTGCAGTACCTTTACCATGTGTTTGGCGTCTTTGGAGGCTCTAGGCATAAGGATATAAACAGTGTCCCTACGAAAATCGCCACAAGTGCGGGGGAACCCATTTGTTGTTCAGAAACAAACCCCATAAAAGCCTAGAAAACCCAATGATCCTCAAATCGCAGTTTAATAGGGGCTGGAAAAATTGTCTTAGTAATCAATCATGACCCAAGAAAAAGGGGAATACATCATCTCCAAGATAAAACACATATGTTGGTCACGTTCAAAATCCCAATTTACGGGACTTTTACAACCCCCTGTATGAATCACATGGTTCTGTGTTGTTTCTGATACTTTGAAATGAGTTCATCGGGATAACATGCAGTTTCGGAGAAGTATGATGAAGTATTCCTACGACAATTCTATACAATCATGGTTATTATAGGTCAACTACGATTGTCTTGAAATCATCAGCATTGGAGTCAGGCCGCCGTTGCCGGTGGTGAATTGGTCAAGACTTTGCCGCCGCGCCAGGACCACTACGGCTTGGAGAAAGTGAAGCGTCGCATCTTGGAGTTCTTGGCTGTGCAGAAGATGCGACGAGCTCCTTGGAAGTTGAAAAGACGGTGAATTTTCATGGGAGCTAGGTATAGTGGTTGTAAAATGTTACCATGAAACAGACTGAAACAGATTATATAGTTGATAGCTCAACGGGGATGCAACCAACACAGCTTGGTGGATGTAGCAGGTGATGGGATAGAAGGCTACATTGATTTTTAGGGAAATATTAATCGAGTAATATTGAATGATGATTAGTTATGATTAGTTGATGGTCGATTGGTTCCTATGGGAGGTGACTGGGGATGAACCTGACACCAACAAACATGCTTCGCAACTTACGATGCGAACTAATCATCAACTTGGCGAACTTTTAAGAAGTGAATACATTAGTTGATTTAATGGAGATATGATGGGATATAAGCGCCAAAATCGAAACTTATAATGGGGATATATGAGGATACAAAGGGAATTGATATATATATATATATACACATAATGACAGATGGAAATTCATACAGAATGGGGCTCAGGCCACATTTACATGAAGCCTTGTGTTACAAAGATGTACAATTCAGCATCCTTTCATTTGAAGTCTACGGGACTTCATTTGGGGTCACTCCCAGAGGTCATTTCTCACTTCTTTCACACAACAAATTGTTGGGGTACCCCAGTTCTTGAAAAAGATGCAAAGGGAAATCTGACACAATCCATGGCTTCAAGAGTTTATTTATATCTAAGTCTCCATTAGAATTAAGTTGAGTTCAAGACCCACAGACAACTCACAGATGTTCATACCTTTTAGTTGGATACAGATATGGAGGTTTCCTAAGTCATAGGGCTACCCCCAGTCATCATCCATTTTTCTTTGGCATTTTCCCATGGATTTTTTTACCATCCATAGCGAGCTTGGGGTACCCCCCTACCAGCTGAGGACATGAAGGGACCCATCCTATGCCTTCACGGTCCACCTGGCGTTCCGTGGCCGCACTGTTTCGCTGTGAGTCTTGGTGGGTCCCAAGAGGTGTTTGCTACCTAATATGGGACTTAATATGGGTTAATGGGACTTAATATATCTTAATATGGACTTAATAGATCTATATCCTGGTTGGTGGTGACTGGAACAATAATAGTGGTTTCCCAATTAATAGTGGTTAATAGTGGTTAATAATGGTTAATGAAATATCTGGTTGGTGGCTTGGAACATGGTTTTTATGAATTTCCGTTCAGTTGGGAATGTCATCATCCCATCTGACGAACTCATATTTTTCAGAGGGGTAGGTATACCACCAACCAGTTACTTGTTCGGAGTTTTCCAAAACATGCGGTTTGGGTCTGTCACACGACAGAAATAGGCAAAATGATGAGTGGTGAATTTTGGAGCAGCCAGTCCAGAAGCAACCTTTATCTTCCAAAACTGTGTACCCTCTGGTAAACAAACATAGCTATTGAACATGGCCATTTATAGTTGATTTGCCCATTAAAAATGGTGATTTTCCATAGTTTTTTGTAGGTTTACCAGAGGGTAACTGTATTGAACTTGCCTAGCCAGATGCCTGGAACAGCTCAGAGAGAAAATCCCAAGCTTGCCAGAATTCTTCGTTCCGGGACACGGACAAACAAGTCGTGGGAGATTTGGGATAGAAACCGGTTGGTTTCCTATGACAAGTCAACCAATCAATTGAAAGTTTGAGCATATTTCCTATGAAATGTAAATCATCTGGTTGTTGGTTTGGAACATTTTGTATTTTTCCATATATTGGGAATAATCATCCCAACTGACTCATATTTTTCAGAGAGGTTGAAACCACCAACCAGAAATCATATTTATGAACAAATATGAGAAACGTCTATGTACTGTGTGTTTATTTCACTGTACAGTTGGATTCCTACAGTTATAGCCCTTTTGCCAATTATAGCTGAATTAAAACCTCATTGAAGTGATGTTTTTCACCAACTAGTTGTAAGAGTTATATCATCCCATTTATATAATTATAACCTATTATAACATATATGTTACAACGTATTTAATAGCTGTTCGTCGGGCCATTGTTTTTTCCAAGTCGTTTCCGTCCGTCCCAGGTGGGTAAAACCTCTCTGGGTCGATCCGTGGCCAAAGCCCTGCAGCGCAAATTCCATCGGATCGCCCTGGGAGGTGGCGTGCCGGATGGGAGAAGCGCCATAGCTACTGTAGCCGTAAAAAAACTAGACGACGGTTGGCCCGAGAGCGAAAAAGCCGTTTTTCAAGCAGCTCTGAGTATGGTAGTCGTAAAAAATAGTCGGTGATAGGTTGGTGAATTTTATATGAGCTATGGAGGGGTAAGTTGTGAAAAGTAAGATTGATTAAGAAGAGGATACATGTGACAACCCATGCATATGCACTGTGCTGCTTGGTAAAGGGCATCATATGACACGTGTCTTGCAACCACAGAGAGACATAGATAGAGAGAAAGGGAGAGAGAGAGAGAGAGAGAGATAGAGAGAGAGAGAGGGAGAGAGAGAGAGAGAGAGGGAGAGAGAGAGAAAGAAAGAGGGAGAGAGAGAGAGAGAGAGCAGGGTCTTCTGTTGTTAGTATTGAGACACTATATTGCAAGACAATATATTAAAGATGTATTTTAGGCAGGCGAGACAAGTAGTATCAAGACAATATATTACAAGTACAAAACACTAGTTTGCATCCTATCCTTCGTATTGTTTTTCACACGCAGACGCTTTTGCACAGAAGCTGTTACACACAGACGCATTTACACACAGACGCTTTTACACACAGACGCTTTTACACACAGACGCTTTTACACACACACAGGCTTTTACACACAGAAGCTTTTACACACAAACACTTTCACACACAGAGGCTTTTACACAGAGGCTTTTACACACAGACGCTTTTACACAAAGAAGCTTTTACACACAGACTCCTTTACACACAGACGCTTTTACACACACACACACAGACGCGTTTACACACAGAGGCTTTTACACACAGACGCTTTTACACACAGACACTTTTACACGCAGACGCTTTTATACACAGGCGCTTTTACAGGCAGATGCTTTTACACGCAAAGACTTTCACAGACGCGTTTCACGAACATTCAGCGTACATATAAGAATATGGATGTTCACTCTGTGCACAATGCATCTTGTCTCTACGTCCACGTCTGAGCCCAGGAAAGAAGTACTTGGTAACCTCTACAACTCCTTTACACAGAAACACTTTTACACACAGACGCTTTTACACACAGACGCAACGCTTTTACACACAGACGCTTTTACACACAGACGCTTTTACACACAAAAGCTTTTACACAGAGACGGTTTTACACACAGACGCTTCTACACGCAGATACGTTTTACACACGCACACACGCTTTCACACACAAACGCTTTTACACACAGACGCGTTGACACACAAACGCTTTTACACAGGACGCTTTTACACGCAGATGCTTTTTACACACGCACACACGCTTTCAAACACAAACGCTTTTACACACAGACGCTTTTACACACAGACACTTGTACAGAAACGAAAGCGTCCATCGCAATTTTTCCTCAGTTTTTGACGTCCAACGTCCATTTCGTGCGAAAGGGTTACGATTGACCAAGTAAAATCGCAATTTTTCCTCAGTTTTTGACGTCCAACGTCCATTTCGTGCGAAAGGGTTGCGATTGACCAAGTAAAATCGCAATTTTTCCTCAGTTTTTGACGTCCAACCTCCATTTCGTGTGTAAGGGTTGCGCGCGACACCTCAAAGTCGCAATTTTTCCTCAGTTTTTGACGTCCAACGTCCATTTCGTGCGTAAGGGTTGCGCGGGACACCTCAAAGTCGCAATTTTTCCTCAGTTTTTGACGTCCAACGTCCATTTCGTGCGAAAGGGTTGCGCGCGACACCTCAAAGTTGCAATTTTTCCTCAGTTTTTGACGTCCAACGTCCATTTCGTGCGAAAGGGTTGCGCGGGACGCTTCAAAGTCGCAACTTTTCCTCAGTTTTTGGCGTCCAACGTCCATTTCGTGCGAAAGGGTTGCCGGCGACGCTTCAAAATCGCAATTTCACCTAGGTTTTGGACGTCCAACGTCCATTTCGTGCGAAAGGGTTGCGTTTCGTGGCGCTCCGGCGGCACCGCCCCCGCCTTAAGAGAGAATAGAAGAAGAGCGAGAGGAGATCTGCAGATGTGAAGGTGTGAAGATGTAGATCTGCAGATGTGAGGGTGTGAAGATGTAGATCTGCAGATGTGAAGGTGTGATGATGTAGATCTGCAGATGTGAAGGTGTGAAGATCTAGATCTGCAGGTGTGAAGGTGTGAAGATCTAGATCTGCAGGTGTGAGGGTGTGAAGATCTAGATCTGCAGGTGTGAAGGTGTGAAGATCTAGATCTGCAGGTGCGAGGGTGTGAAGATCTAGATCTGCAGGTGCGAGGGTGTGAAGATCTAGATCTGCAGGTGTGAAGGTGTGAAGATCTAGATCTGCAGATGTGAGGGTGTGAAGATCTAGATCTGCAGATGTGAAGGTGTGAAGATCTAGATCTGCAGGTGTGAGGGTGTGAAGATCTAGATCAGCAGGTGTGAGGGTGTGAAGATCTAGATCTGCAGATGTGAAGGTGTGAAGATCTAGATCTGCAGATGTGAGGGTGTGAAGATCTAGATCAGCAGGTGTGAGGGTGTGAAGATCTAGATCAGCAGATGTGAAGGTGTGAAGATCTAGATCAGCAGATGTGAAGGAGTGAAGATCTAGTATAACGGCTGCTTTTTTACGAAGAACCCTTCGCAGGCGCTCTCGGGAAAAATCAGGTGGGTTAATGGGACTTAATATATCTTAATATGGACTTAATAATATGGACTTAATAGATCTATATCCTGGTTGGTGGTGACTGGAACAATAATAGTGGTTTCCCAATTAATGGTGGTTAATAGTGATTAATAGTGGTTAATGAAATATCTGGTTGGTGGTTTGGAACATGGCTGGATTATGAATTTCCCAAGAGTTGGGATGATGATCCAATCTGACGAACTCATATTTTTCAGAGGGATAGGTATACCACCAACCAGTAGTATGTTTTAGTACTTTTACCCTTGTTTATGGAGGATCTAGGTACATATAGAATATAATAATATTATATTTATATATGTATATATGTTACTCGTAACTACCGAAAACCACAATCTTTCTTACCTAGATCATCGAACTAAATGGGCCATGTTCCATAGCTAAGTTGGTAAACATAACTCCACTAACTTTGGTTTATGTTAGATATATCGAACTAGTTAACTATCTAGCTAGTGGGGGTTGTAAAGAAACAGACATCACTGGGGGGCCACCTTGTAACATTGTAACCATCAAATTGATACATGATTGTTGCTTGGTGTTATTTTTTAGGGGGTGGATTGAGCCATGAATGAGGGATATATATATATAACATTATATAACCATGATATAGGTTTCAAATGATGGTTGATTGATTGTGACGTTGGGGTTATTAAGCCTACTTGTTTTCTTTTGGACCATGAACTCACCCATCATAATTAGTGGGATACCTATTCCATGGGATATCTACTTTTGCTCGGTTGCTGGGTTGCAAATCTCTTATACGTCGAGGTTAAGAAGCTGGGAAGAATCATCGCGGTAAAGGGGAGTTGTCCAGTCGGATTTGATTGCTAGAGTCTAGAGGTGATGCCAGCTGTATCCAGCTATCGAATATGCCAAATTGGTCATAGCTACTGGCCCCATCCTCACATTTGTTCTGGGCCAAGCCACCGACTGCTCAAATGTGCGGGACATCATGCCCCAATGTTTCTTGGTTTGTATTATCTTTATTGGTTTCATCGCTTCCACTTTTGCTGGTCAAAATATCTTCCAAACATAAGCAATAGGCAATGTCAGGAAGGGCACATCAGCAACAAGTAGCACTATATATATAAGAAGGATCAACGACCACGGAGTTCAGATGATCCAAATGAAAGCTCCTGTCGATTGGTAGAGACGCGCTGGAGATGCTAACAAAAGCCAATGTTGATATTGATGGAATTGAATGCACATTAGACAATGAATCCTTCGCTCAACGTCTCAATGTCTCAATCATGATATAACTTATTATATATATATAGTTTAGTCGATATAAAGTCTCAGAATGTGAGACCTAGGTGGGAAAGTCATCTTATAACAAGTCTTATCACATCTAATCTTATCATTTATATACTGTATAGTCTGTATATATGTAATTTTGGATAGATAGATCGAGTTTAAATAAGTCAGAATGTGTTAGAGTGTTCTGATTCATTAAGTCATACAAATGATATAATAAATCTTTACAAAAAATATCACTATTAAATCAAATCGTTTTTAAGTCATTGAAGACATGATTGTCCCTGGAGGCGTGCGGGATGAGGCGGAGATCCGTGGCCACCGGCGCACCTACATCGGCAGCATGCCGGGGGCCATCATGCAAGCGCTCGCCACGCTGCAGGTGAGAAACGAATGAAGAACGCAGGGGATCATCGACGCAGATGGAATTGCTCTTTTCCAATGATCATGGCTTAAATTGGATATATATATATGATATATATATAATATATATAATAGATATAATATATAATATATATATATATATTATATATACACATATATATGCCATGATTTACATACCCGGCATCCAATTTGAGCTCATCATTTCCGTTTCGGATGGTGGAGTCACCTTTTGCAGACATTGGAATCATCGGCAAATCGGAATCTGGTTCGGATGGGATCCCTGACGGAGAATTTACATATCTTACGGTTGAACATGTCCAGAAAAATAAAGGCGCGAATGAAACAGGAAAATTGTTCATCAAAATCTTTTTTTGGGGGGGGACAACTGATTTCTGTGTTTTAATCAACCATTTAAAATTTAGACCCAAGAAACTTCTGCTTATGGGTCAGAATCTCAGAGTTGTGTGTATACAGCCCTCCAAAAAAAAACGTGGATTTTGAATCACAGCATTGTCCACAGAGTCAGTGTTCATTCTGAAATTCTCAACAAGGAATCAGAGTTCAATGACCCACAGCCACAAAGAGATTGGTCCGGCGTAAGGCCCGGACCAGATGAACATGTTGTTCCAAGAGGAACCTAAAGGCCAAGAATATTAGGGCCATATGAGCGTGTCTGAAAATGGAAGAAACCGCAAATAACAATTTTACTATGGAAACCGTGATAAACCTGATTTTTTTGGGGATAGCCTATTTTCAATCAGACCCAGATTTCTCATCAGTTTGTCTGCTCTTGTAGCCACAGCCCATGGCCAGCCAGGTGAACAATCCGGTGATTTTACTGGATGAGATTGATAAACTCACGCGCAATGCCATGTTCAATCCCTCCGGTGCTATGTTGGAACTTCTGGATCCCGAGCAAAATCATACCTTCAAGGACGGTCGGTGGCTAGAAATTTCAGCAGATTTTCGGATGAAAAGTGGATCTCTTGACCTGGAAAAGACCTTGGGAAGTCATAGGACCATAGGATCCAACTCGTCAATCAGTTGAACTTGAGAAATTTGCACGCCAATTTCGCCAGGGGAGGTGGATGTTCTTGTTGAGACTGTTGTTTGATGATTGATTTCTTGAAATTGTGGACCATTATGGACCATTGCAGTCAGGGTCTTGGCTGACATTCAGAGGTGCATTTGACGTTGCATTTGAGCAAACTCGTGTCATTGAAACCAAAAATATGTCAGCTTGGCCCGGACTTACGACTGTCATATAAAATATGTAGAAAGTTGGTTCTATATCAACTAATATTATATATACACCCTAATAAACAATATATATATATATATATATCAACCAATATCATATGACTGGATGATGTTTTTATGTTGGTGACTGGTTGATGGCTTAGATGTTCAGTATTGTTCCCTTGGATTGATCCGTTGATCATTGTTAGCTCGGCTCTGAAATTTATTCCCAACTGGTTTCCTATTTGAAATCACCATGTAAAAATCCATGTTTATGAAATCATGTTTAAATCCCATGTTTCCCCTATGATCTGGTTATATAATGTCATGTATCCATATCCCATATATATATATATATATCACCATGAAATCCAAGCCAATGATCATCATTTTTGTTACTGTAAATGCCTAGTTTCAACAGAGACCCTCCCAAGAAGCCCAGTGATTTTCTCGCCTCGATCGAAGCCAGGACCACTACATCAACACGCCCTTCGACCTTTCGAAGGCGATATCTATTGGTGCTAGATATCTACACGGAAATCTTGGATGGGTAGTTTAGTTTAATACTCTTGGCTTTTTGCTACAATTGGGAATATGTATGTATAATATATAAATATGTAATATAATATAGGTATGTATATATATATATATGTAATAATATATATATATATGTATATACATGCACGTGTAACTTATAGCTGGCTATGTTTTTTACAGGGTACTGGTATCTAAGATTGGCTATGCATAGGGTTGGCTTTACCAAAGACACTGAAGGAAACATTGTGCTGTTGCGATCTTGGACAGGGGGGGTTCCTGTCCAGTAAATTCTGAAAGATGGTGATAGCAAGACTTGGATGTGTCCCCTGAAGTGGTTTCGAGATTTGATATGAATCACTGATGAAGTGAACATAGAATCATAACCACCCATCCACGGACATACACGGATGTATTCAACCATAGTATGTCACAATATGAATGGTATCGGATTATCGCGCCTAGATCAATGTCCAGTCACTGAAGACGAGCTGGAACTCACACCTCGAATCCATCACCAAGTCTGGTGCGGCGAGTTGCTGTGCAAAGGATGACAAGTTGCATTGCAACAGTTGCATAAGCACTCCTCTCCATAGCCCCATAGCTCTTGAGAAAAAGCCGGATGATTGTTACATGTGTATCCCATATGTATTTATTTAATATATATATATATACACACCATGTATGTACACATATGATGTCTGTGTGGTCTCTAAGATTATATAGCTGGTTATAGATGTTATAGCTGGTTCATGATGTGGAATTAAGTAGCCTCACAAGATTGCAACATCCGTTTATGACATTTATGGATGTTGTTATAGTTCTCTTTTTTTGGTGTATATCTATATCCATATCATTTACATAACCTTTTATGGTAACGGCCCCGGCTTAGCCCGGCCCTCCTTGCAGGTCCTGTTCCTGTGCACCTGCAACCAGTTGGACACCATCGATCGACCTCTTCTGGACCGTATGGAGGTGTCGCGGAGTCGCGGACCAAATGGTCTTCTGTTTGTAACAGCTTTACCTACCTGTGAAAACGATTATAGTTATGAAGCCGCTTTTGGAACCATTGATGAGCAAAACTCAGGCTGTGAATGGCTGTGAACAGTCGGATTTGCAAAGGTGAATCAGCATGATCTTCGCAGCGATTTTCCCGAATGCGTAGCAAGGGTTCCCGTTTCACTCTGGGGGTCTGGGGGTTGAGAGTGTGTTCGCTCGACGTTGCGTCCGCGTCCGTAACCGTTCGCAACCGTTCGCAACCGTCCGCAACCGTCCGCAACCGTCCGCAACCGTTCGCAACCGTTCGTACGAGGTCCGTATGGCCGTGCCTATGGGAAGTTTTGCAGAGGTGGTCATTTTTGGAGGTTTCAGACGTGTCGTTGCTTCGTTTCGCGTGGCAGGCGTGGCACTTCGTGACATTCAGACGTGTTTTGCAACGTGTTGAAAATCGTTTCGCGTGGCAGGCGCAATACTTTTGTGACGTTTTCAGCAGATGTGTTGCAGTTTTCGTGGCAGGCGCAGCACTTTGGACGTGTCCATCGTCATTTTTCGTGGCAGGCGCAGCACTTTAGACGTGTCCTGTTGCGTGTTTTTTGTAAATCGCATTGGCAGGGCTGCGTCAAGTGGCGACAAGGTGCAAATTCCGTGGCAGGCGTGGCATTTTGCGCGATGCGCTGAAAATTGACGGAAGCCTCGCACGAAACATCGATTTTGAGGTTGCAAATTTTCAGGTTCTAAGGAAAACTCGTAGGAAAACGTTGATTTTGAAGCTGCAAAGTGTGAAAATTGGAGGAAGTCTCGCACGAAATGCTCGTTTTGGTGTTCCCACCTGTCTCTTCTCGCGTCTCTGGTTTTCCTGTGGCCTCGCCGTGTCTATGGGGGAAGCTGCAAAACGTGTCCTTTTGTCATGTTGCCAACTGTGAAAATTGCCGGAAGTCTCGTACGAAATGCTCGTTTTTTTGCACCCACGTGTTCTGTCGCGAGTCTCTGGTTTTCCTGTGGCGTCGCCGAGTCTATGGGGGAAGCTGGCAAACCTGTCCTTTTCGAATGTTTCCACGCAGGTTGTCCTGTCGTTTTGCGTGGCAGACGTGGCAGTTTCTGACATTCCAACCTGTTTGATAACGTGTGGAAAATATCAAAATTGGAGGAAGTCTCGCACGAAATGCTCGTTTTTTTGCATCCACGTGTCTCGTTTCGAGTCTCTGGTTGTCCTGTGGCGTCGCCGTGTCTATGGGGGAAGCTGGGAAACCTTACCTTTGCGAATGTTTCCAAGCAGGTTGTCCTGTGGTTTTGCGTGGCAGGCGCGGCACTTTGTGACATTCCAACCTGTTTGATAAGGTGTGTGGAGGAAGTCTCGCACGAAATGCTCGTTTTTTTGCACCCACGTGTCTCGTTTCGAGTCTCTGGTTGTCCTGTGGCGTCGCCGTGTCTATGGGGGAAGCTCCGCGCTCCACATTCTACACTTTACACTCCACACTCCACAATTTACACTTTAGATTCCACACTCTACACTTTACACTCCACACTTTACACTTTGCACTTTACACTCCCCACTCCTCACCTGAGACTTTACACTCCACACTTTACACTACACTCTACACTTTCCACTCCTCACTCCTCACTCTACACTTTACACTCCACACTCTACACTTTACACTCCACACTCCTCACTTTACTGTACACTCCACTCCACACTTTAGACTTTACACTCCTCACTCCACACTCCACACTTTACACCCCTCACTCCACACTTTACACTCCACACTTCACACTTTCCACTCAACACTCCACACTCCACACTTTACACTCCTCACTCCACACTCCACACTCCACACTCTACACACCACACTCTACACTTTACACTCCACACTTTACACTCCACACTCTACACTTTACACTCCACACTCCACACTCTACACTCCACACTTTACACTTTACACTTTAGACTATACACTCTACACTTTACACTCCTCACTCCTCACTCCACACTTTACACTCCACATTTCACACTTTCCACTCAACACTCCACACTCCACACTTTACACTCCTCACTGCACACTTTACACTCCACACTATACACTCCACACTCTACACTTTACACTCCACACTTTAGACTCCACACTCCACACTCTACACTTTACACTCTACACTATGCACTCTACACTCCACACTTTACACTTTACACTCCACGCTTTCTACTTTACACTCCTCACTCCACACTTTACACTCCACACTTTACACTCCACACTCTACACTTTACACTCCACACTCCACACTCTACACTCCACACTTTACACTCCACACTCCACACTCTACACACCACACTCTACACTTTCCACTCCACACGCTACACTCTACACTCCACACTCTACACTTTACACTCTACACTTTACACTCTACACTTCACACTCTACAATTTACAAACTCCACACTCCACACTCCACACTTTTGCACTTTACACTCCTCACTCTACACTCCACACTCCACACTCCACACTCTACACTCCACACTCTACACTTTCCACTCCACACTGCAGACTGGCATCAAGGGAAACATGCACAAGACTGTGCAAATAAACGATTGCAGAAAGGTATTGTGCGTCACTTCATAACCATGTGTTTTGACATCTGTACCATTAACATACGTGTGAGCATTCGGGTTCGTGGGCTTCATCTTGTTTTTTTGACTGGCAGCTCAAATGACTAAACAAATCCCCATTTTGGTCAGTCAGACTTGCAATTTCGGATGAGGTTTTCAATGGTTTTTCAGTGTTTCTCATGCCAGGAAGTCAACCTGTTGTTAGATTTTCATGAATGTTTTCCCATCGCCACTCGCTGAGATCATTGAACTCTCCGGCTACACCATGGAGGATGGGATGGTGGATCATGTCCTATGCTGTGGGCCAGCGAAATCCAGTTATCACCGCCGAAAGGATGGTTGAAACATGTTGAAACCCTATAAATAATGGGAAAAAATTGGTTGAAACCCTATAAATAATGGGATGTTTACCATCTATCAACTGGTGATTTGGATTTCGCTGGCCCATCCACAGTATGTTGCAACAAAGCGTCCTGAAGAGATTTATGTGTGTGTTTGCCACCTTTCCCAAGAAAATTACAGTACATGGAATTTGCAAGAATGGAGTTCCGCTGGAAAAAGGAACGGAAAATTGATGTGGTGTACTATTAATACCCAGGATTACCCAGGCAAAACATTGAATAGACAATCCCAAATTATGACTTCATGAAATTGCTGCCATCCCAGATTCCAGCAGTAGCGTTTGCAGTTTGCAGGAGAAGGTGCACATTGCGACCACGCACTTATTGCCCAAGCAACGCCGTAACTTGGGTTGGACTCGCAACTGGGTCATCAACAGTCGTGAAGTAGATACTATTGGATATACAATACTGGGATATATTGGGATATATTGAAATATACGGGATAGGATATACTAGGATATACTGGAAAATATTGGGAAATACTAGAAATACTAGCAAGTGAGCCGATTCTTTGACCTACAATTGGAAACTTCTGTGATGTTTTGCACGGACCTTGATTCATTGATGGTTCCAGGAGCAGGCATCCATTGCCAAAAGATATATAAATATTTTATAATATTATATATTATAATATATATATATATTTACTATGTATACTATGTATTTAGAAAGTCAAAATTGACGTGTATGTCAGGAGGGCACCTGGGAAAGCAGTTGCTTATCAACCAAACTCCGAAAATGCCCAAGCTCAGGACATCGGTGAAATATCCCAATCCCAACTCATGGGGTCACACCATGGTTCTACGCTAGTACCTATTAATATGTATGAACTCCAATAATAGGAATATAATGGAGGTTCATAATGTCATTATATATATATATATGTACACATAAAGATATGTATATGTATATAACAATTAATGTAGTTATATACAAAGTCTTGCCAGATATGTTTGTTGGTTTATTTTTGTTTTGCCTCATTCACTCGTTCGATATCTCTGCCACTATAAATTACTACAAAAACCGAATGTGAAATGGTCGTAAACACCATGAATACTGTTGAATACGAATTCCATCTTATTCCCAAACTGGAAAAAGAATCTCCAACCTCAAAAAATGATGGGACAGAATCTCCAACCCCAAAAAATGCTCCATGAAAAGCCATGGATTTTTCTGGTTTTCAGCTGTTCCCAGGCATCCACGGTTTGGAGAAGGACCCCGAGGCGCCAGCGGCGGTTTCGACACCGCCGGATGCGGAGCCGGATGCGGAGCCGATGCCTGAGATGATACCTGGCTGAGGGATCATCCATGGTGAAATTCCATTATATGGATATATATATATATTAATCCGTTAATAATCCATGAGTATACCTGGTTGGTGGTTTCAACATTTTTTATGTTTCCATAATATATTGGGGATAATCACGGATAATCCTTCCCATTGACGAATAAATATTTTTCAGAGGGGTAGGTCAACCACCAACCAGAAAATCATTCAGGGATCATCTGAGATCATATTTTGAATTGGATTTTAAATGTGGGAAACGTTTTATGAAACGATGCTATTCTATATGATTTTGTGATTTGTTCATCATTCTGGGTAAATAAGAGTGACCTCATCATGGTGATTCATGTGATCCCCAAGTGGCCCAACATTGTGCTCCAATGTAGACAATATAAAACCCTGTAGATGATCTTTTGGGTAAATGTTGGTTAAACAAATCCAGCATCATGGAGCATTGGGGATGAATTTGACAACTTGATAACCCGTAGTTTTCTTTGACTGGCATATATATATACATATTTATCGATGATTAGATGGATATGAATGGGTTTTATTTTCCAGGGCATTACCGGTTATACACATTGCAATCAATACATGTTCGAGAATCAAAGTTGGGGATATAATTAGTATTAATTAGTTATATACTGGGAACCTGTACGATCCCCAAAAAAAGATAACAGATGATAACAGATGATAACAGTCATAAAATCCTAAATCCAGTCGTGATATATAAACTACTGGTTGGTGGTTTGGAACATTTTTTCTTTTTCCATATATTGGGAATATCATCATCCCAACTGACTTTCGTAGTTTTCAGAGGGGTAGGTCAACCACCAACCAGACTAATATGTCTATCTTCTGGGAGTTTCTTTTTCTATATATCTGGGTAAATTATAACGACCTCACTGCGACCTCACTGGAAATCATGGTTAATAAGGGAATTGATCCCCAAATGGCCTTAATTCAGGTTAGTGAATTATTATAATTTACCCAGATATATAGTATGATCGAATGGAACAATTCAGTCAGCTCATCTCAGTCCGCTGTCATAGCTGCATGCATTGGGCCCTCCAGAGTCAAAAAGCTCTGGAAATCATATGGCTATCCCCAAGAACTGGGTTAGAATGTACATACAGTTGCTTCATGGTGGTATCACAAGGTATTTTATGGAATATCTTGCGGAATTTAACCAACAATATGAGATGGTTGGGAGTTCCATAATCATGGGGATACCCCCATAGCTCCAAGCGAGCTTAGGATGGTTTATTTCCAGGGAGAATCCGAACATCAAATGGATGGGAACTAGGGGATTTCATGTGTTTTAAACACCTCCAAATGATCTGCAAATGATGGATTTTCTCGAATTCCCGGCTGCATCCTGGACCGGGCGCAAAGAAATGCTTGATGTTTTTGAGGCTATTGCTGTTCATTTGAGTAACTACATCAAGTAAACCTACAAAAAACGAAGGAAAACCACCAGCAAAATTCATGGGTAAATCCAACGTCAATAGGATGATCCATCGGGTACCTCCCGTAATGGTTGTTGCTTTCTAAAGCCATCAAAAACCTTAGGATACTATAAAAGACTAATACTAATACACTATATATATATATGTATATATATATATATGTATATTATACATATATATATACATATAGTATACATATATTTTACATATTATATATAATATTATAATATTTATGTTATTATATATATAATTATAGATATTTTTTATATTGTATGATTGTATGTATATATCTATATTGTAATTATTATTACTATTATACTTACTATTTTTGTTTATTAGTATTATGATTATTTATTGTTATTGCTATTATCATTATATATTTTTTGTTGTATATATATATATAACATTTTTCAAAAATATTTATATATATATACATTACTATTTATATATATATATATATTAGTATTATATATATATATATTTAAAATAATTATCATTAATTTTACTATTATATATATATAAATATTCTAATATATATATATATGTTAATATATTTATATAATTAATATAGGAATTATAATTTATATATATGTAATAATTAATAATATATATATAGCATTAAATTATATAATATTATTTTATTTTATATAATATAATATAATATAATATTTTCTTTTTTATATTTTATTATGTATTACATTATAGTATACATAATGTGTTTGATTATTACAGTATATATCACTAAATATTAATAAATATGACATATACATATATTCTATGTGATATATATATATACATGATATATATATATATATATTTATGATATATATATATATATATTATATTTATGATATATATATATATATCTACCATTAACCATCGTTCTAACCCATGGCGTTTTCCAAAAGGGCTCCCCCCGAGGACCGTTGAGCCGCTGGCCGCAGATGCACCTGGTCTCCCAGCGCTGGAGATGACGACGGAAGCGCTACGGGAACTGATCACAAAGTGGACCGTGGAGAGCTCCTCGGACCATCGGGGGCTGCAAGGCTTGAGAAATGGCGGGAGAACATGCGGGAAAAAACATCCAATGGTGAAGAATATGATGAATATATGATGAATATGGTGATATTACGGTGATAATATGATAATATGGGTGAAATATATGATTGTGGGTGAAAATGGTGATATTTATGGTGAATATATGGCGAATAAAATTGTTAATTGTTATATGTGAGGGATGTATATAATTGATGTAATGGGGGCCTGGCGGCCTGGCATAAACAAGTAGCATGACTGGGATGGTTGAAACATAGTAGCACCCATAGAAATGGAGATGACTTGGGGATGGCCATTGATATCCTACAATTTTGGCCATTGAAGCTTGGCCCCAAGAAATTTATCCGGGATAAATTTGGGGACAACCCCCCGTAGGCACCACACACGGGGATTGGCAAGAAACTGTGAAATGTTCAAGTATTTTCTCACAAACCCAAATATTTTCGGAAAAGTTGAACAGTTTCGAACAAAATGTGAAATATTGGGTTGAAAGCATTGAAAACATGAAGCAACTGATGACATAAATTTGGAACAAATGGGGACTATGGATGAACACAGTGCAAACAATTGTGTACAGTAAACATGAAGGATGTTAAGCATCGCATAGTGCCACAAGAACAATCGAGAAAACCCACATCATTGGGAGATGCCAAACAAACTGGGCTGCACCTCTCATGCGGCAACAAAACCCAGAAAAAAATATGAACAATTGCAGTTTTTTAGTATTGCATCCTCCAGTTTGGGAGGTCAATTATTTAAAGCCACAGCCGTGGGGGCCATTGGCAGAAGGACACTCTCAGGTGGATGGATGTCATAGATTCTCAGGCCTAATGGCAAACTTCCAAGAAGAGATATGCCTGGGTAATGCAGCATAGGAGTAATGGGTATGCGTCATTTTCTAAAAGAGACCCAAACTGGATTGTTATCCGATAACCAACAATGGGACTTTTAAATGGGGAGTCAAATTTACTTACTCTAACCATTGTGTTTGCAGGAGTTTAACTGGTTTTTACCATCAAAGATCTGGAAATGTAATGGAATATATCATTTATACACTCTCGACCCTCTCATAAGCCCAACAGTGATGGTTTTGATGGCCAAAAAAGATGTTCTATAATTCTGGCAGTTTGTCATTTCTATGGTTTGACCTGAGTCTGGCCATTACCCTCTGGTAAACAAACAGTTTGCTATTGAAAATGGCCATAGACATAGTGGATTTACCCATTAAAAATTGTGATTTTCCAGAGTTTTTTGTAGGTTTTTTGTAGGTAAAAACAGCACAATGGTCGTACTTCGGGGGGGTTTCCATCGTTTTTTGTAGCTTTACCAGGCCGGGTATGATGTTTTTGTCCATGGGTCCTGTCATGTCGTTTCATGTCGTCGCCAGGTGGGGTGCGGACCTTGGAACGGCGCTTGGCACAGGCGAAAAACGACGTTGGTCACGGGAGAAGATCTGCCAATGCGACTGGAAACTGGAAATTCCATGGTTTTTGGTGGTCATATGGCTCCGTCTAATTTCTCTTGAATTTTATGTCATGAATTGTGAGGCTGTGAAGCCACATAAAAGACCAGCAGTATGATATTATATATATATACATATTTATTTGATGATGTCATATGTGGGCTCGGCAAATCTGAAGGCAGCTGCCGTTCTCTTGTATGTTAGCTATTGCTGCCGATCGGATGCCGATCGTGATGATGAATCGGCAATTTCATTTCGAGGGGTTGATGGAGGTGTCACATTTGGGCTCACAGAGGTGCCTCTCCCAGGCGACAAAAATTGGAGTTTTGAGCTGTGTATGGATATGTTTCAAGGGATGTAGACACAAACCCGGATTCCAGTTGTGTTTCATTGATGTTCTGATATGCTTTGGTGGTGAACGAACTTTTTACGAACTTTGAGAAATGCATATCGGGGATTCAAGCGTGAGGCTCATACAGCTTGTTGAAGTTGCGCTGTACATTTTGGTTGTTTGAATTTGTTGCGTCCATTACGTTCATATTTGAATCTTACCCCAGCAATGCTTCATATCAGAACTGATCAGATGTAATATTGCCTATCAACTTTGGAAACTGGGGGCCCTGCAACCCACAATCTTAAAGTGATTAGCAACTGGATGTAATTCATCGATTTTTGTTCGTGGGTATATCCCCAAATCCTATAAGAAATCTACAATTTAGTCTATAACGCGCTTGAAGTCCCCAACCAAAAACCTTGGTTTCTCCCAATTCTTGGGGTATCTCCCCATTTCACCAGCCATGGCTTCGTTGGCTTCGCCAGGTGTGTCGCTGGGCTGCCCTGCGCTTGACAGGTGCCGATGTGAAGAACCAGCAGGACGAGGTCGTCGTCAAGGACGGACAGCGGCTCGGTAGATGCAGAGATGTTTCGACCGAGGGGGGATGGCCAATATCATGATATCATGGAGATATAAAGTAGGATAATTATAATATTATATATATATAAATAACCAAATTCAACCAACAAAAAAAGTAGGATAAAGATGGATAAAGATGGATAAAGATGGATAAAGAAGGAAAGAGATGGATAAAGATGGATAAAGATGAGCTATGGATTTGACCAGCTTTTGGATATCATCATAAAAAAAGGTGAGGTATGCTGGGTATGCTGATGATAGCTGAAGCTTGGGACCTATTTTCCAGATTGCAAGAGTTATAAAGAATGTTGTTTTCTCTTGCATAATTCCGTATACCGTATACCTTTTAAGTAACATGATCATGACTACAAAGAGTGGCTTCTCCAGTCCACCAAATCAAAAAGTGGGAAGCCATCGATGTGGAAGGACATTGTCATAGATTTGGCGCTAGTATAGTATGCATGATATTTGTTTAAGTTTAATGTTGGATCTTACCATGGTCTTATCCTAACTTCAGGTTAGATCCAGATGATAAGGCCGGTCTGATTTGGCTATGTTGCTCCAGATTCCCAAATGGTGTGTACATACCTTGACCGGAGATGCGAACCATCGCAACTAGGTCAACCATTTGACGACGCCGTTTGAAGATATTCTAAGAAGTTCTAAGATGCGTTGGGTCCGAAAACACCACCGACCCAGACTCTATGACCAACAGACCATCTACAGTAATTCTACAGTACAGTTTGTTTTTCCACGATGCACATCAGATTCCGGTCAACATCAATGACTGTCTGTGGCCCCATTGGCCACCACATCCATTGCCATGGCACTTGGTGGTGCCTCACAAAATTCATCATCTTGAGCATCAACCTCAGTTGAATCCCAGTGTTTCTGGAGGTTGTTTCACAATCCATTGGTGCTTGGAGTTTTCAATTTCTTGATTCACATTGATCAACAACATTATAAAATATGTATAAAGAAGCCATCCCCATCCCCATCTCGCCCATGTCTAATGAGTCTAATCTCTAGTAAGCTGTCATTGTATCTGAGGCTCACTGTGGACGTGCCACATTTGCCCCGCATTTTGGGCGCAGAAGTCTTTGAGCCCGACGCCTCCGAGCGGTTGACCGTGGGTGTGGCCATGGGTCTTGGGGTCTCAGTGACTGGAGGTGGGAAGGGCGATCGCATGGTGTTGGGGGAAATATATGGGCCAACAGCATGGGTCATTAAATGTCCCCATGGGTCACATCACCCAACCATGAATGGTATATGGTCTATAATGGCTACTATAAGGTGATGTCCAATATACCCAAAATGGGACAGTTGCCAACCCCTGAACAGTGATGAACCTTTTTTGCACCTTTTTTTTTGGAGACTTTTGGATCAGTTCCAGTACACAGGAGAATGCTTCAAATCTCTTGGGAAATTCGGTGCTTGGGTTTGGAGATGGGCGGAAAAGATGTACCAAATTGGTGGCGCTCCCAGTTTCGAAAACATTAAGTTTGTTTATAAACAAAACCGGGGTTTATGTTAAATATTTTTTTTCTTAATCATGGTAAATCGATACTTACTTTATGGGGTTATAATTTATAAACCAACTTTTTAGCGGGGCGCACCACCTCGGGTAAGATAGTTGCAGGTGGAGAATGGTCCAAGCTGTGTCTGCTTCAGAAATCCTTCAATTTGGGCCCTCACATGATAGGTACTTGAACATCGGTTTAAATAGCCAGGCTAGCTCTTGCAACTTGTACAGGATTCAGTTCTGGATACTCCAGTTGTATGGGATCTGCTTGGTGGTTTCAAACCTTCTTTTAGGAAGAGGACCCCAACTGACTATAGCAGTTCTGTGGCTGGGCTGATTCTCCCCCGACACCTGGGCAAGGTCAGCTGCTCTTTGTGGAGGCCTCCCGCAGCAAGGGCTGCGGCAAGCTGACCGTGACGGGGCAGCTGGGCGAAGTGATGCTGGAGAGCGTGAAGACAGCCATGTGAGGGGGGCCCAGAGGAGAGCCGTGGCACCGTGTGTAACCATCAATATTATATATATATATAGATATATAATATATACAGTGTGAATTATCTATATATACACATAATATATATATATATAGGTATACATATATATATATAATATGCTAATTATATAGTAATAGACCTATATAGTTGTATATACAAGATAGGTGAAGCTGCCAAGATCAATTTTAGCAAGCTACAGTGACCTACAGGTTCTGCAAGACAATTGCTAGCGTAATCCGTAAGCCCAACATAGAAAGCTGGAGACTTGGGAATTATAAGATATCAATAGGTATCATCAAAGACCTAAGAATCTATCTTCCGGTTGGTGGTTTGGAACATTTTTTATTTTTCCATACATTGGGAACAATAATCCCAACTGATTAGCCATATTAATCATATTATATTAGCCATATCATCTAAGACCTAAGAATCTACCCCTCCTCAATATGTCCCAGGTCTTTGCTTCGCAGCCGCATCTACTACGCTGCCTGGGGCAACGAGAGGCCCCGCGCCGTGGAGCCTCCATTAACGCCGATGAGGTGCGGCCGTGGGCGATGAGTCGATTGGATATAGATGCTATAGAAAAAATATCATGAAGTATAGTATCTATAACATGACAGTAATATCCAATCATAGTGGGATTACTATTCTATACTATAATTACTATAATTATAGTATCTATAACATTCTATAACCAATAGTGGAAAAACGCAGTTCGGCTTATGTGATATTCGCCGGCTTGGCAAAAGCCTGGACCAAGTCAGATGGGACCACGGGGCATGTTCCTGGAGGAAATGATTGGATCGATTCATTTTGGGGAAAAAAATGTGTTTGTTATGTTCATATTATATCGGCTGTATCCCCATTTGATCATGTTTATACAAGCCATAGTAAACCACCATATTTTTTGCTGATGAAATCACCATTTTTGCTGCTTAAATCTCCGTTTTTGCTGGTGAAATCTCCGTTTTTGCCACATCAGTCAGAAACTCGGTCAGAAATGTGGGTTTGTCTGAAAATAGGGTATATTCCCAATTATAGCCATTTAATAGGGATCATGATCATTAACCATTGGGTTTAGGGGTACACTATTTTCAGACATACCCATGTGTGAAACTCATCGTTTCGGTAAAAAAAAACAACTCCTCAGGGAACGCTGCAAGCTGCGCCGCAGGCTCAGTGGTTCGGTGGACACGGTCGACATCTTGTCGCAGTGGGCCAGGATGGAATGCTGGGCCCGACTCAATGGGGATCCTCGGGGTATCCATGGTTTCCCTGTGAACCTGGCTGATTATTTATATATGAATGTATAATATATATATATTTATATTTATATTTATATTATTATTTTTATTATTATGATTCTTATTTTTTATTATTATTATTTATTAGTATTAGTAGTATTATTATTATTACTAATTATTATTATTAGTAGTATTATTTTTATGATTATATACTATTATTCTTATGGTTATTATTAATATTTATTATTATTAGTGTTGTTATTATACATATATATATATACATATTATATATATATATAATATATATATATATACTATCATATAATATATATATACTATCATATATATACTATCATATATATATACTATCATATATATAAAAATATATTACTATATGTAATGTAGCCATCAAAAAGCATTGTGTTTTACCACGTTTCAGCGCCGTGGCTGGAAAATCCTGGAACTGTTGCTGGGGGATTTTCACCCTGGGCCCTGGGGTAAACATACAAAAACATTTGGAAAATCATGAAAATCCATGGTGCAACCCGTTCGGAATATGATCGACTGCTAGTGGATTTTCCATAAATTCAAACGTATATATACATATACTGGATTTATAATATACTTTACTGAACCTTATTGATCCAGTTGTACCTTCTGAGGGAGAAATTTGGGCTATCATTTTGTGGGCTAAGTACCTTCTCAGGAGGTATTTTGTGATCGCAGAGGGATATACTGTATGTCTCTATATATGATATTAGTATTCATACTTTTCATTATGTATAGATATGTAATGAATCAATGGCCATTTCAGGATCCTAGATTGGAGGTACCTACCATATATAAGGCCTATGTAAGGCCTATGGAAGGAATATCCCCACAAAATATGGCCTTATATGGTACAGTACCTTCATTTTAGGATCCTGAAATTCCCATTGTGACAAAACAGTACCAATGTATAATGTGTGTATATTGGTTTTGTCACTTCAAGACTTCAAGGTGCCATTGAAATGCCAAAATGCCAATCTCGCCGTGTTGTTTCGGTGGTTTCGCCCTCGGGATGGCAGGAATGAGCACAAGATGCAAGACCCTTTCGGCGGAGATGACATCCACGTGCATTTTCCTGCAGGTGCTTTGGAATTTCACATGTTTACCCCCTGGTAAATTAACATATGTAGACCCTGAAAATGAGCAATTTGTAGTCGAAACTAGTCTGAAAAACCCCTCTGTGGCAGGGTCGAACTGTTATAATTTACTGGAGGCTAATGTTTTTTGTGTTACAGATGAAAGATGCCATTTCTCCAACTGCATGGATCTAACATGAAGTTGCCAGATTTGGAAACCCCTGGGATGATGTTTGGATCGTTGACAAAATGTAGCGTTTGTAGAAGAAATATGTTTATTTTTTATATAGCAACATGCACTGATGACACTGTTTGGTGGATGCTGAACTGCTGAATCATGACACGATTTTGACTTTGACTTTTGCTAAAGATGTTCAGATAGTTGATGCATGTCATAGCAATGCTGGTTGGTGGTTTGGAACATGTCTTATTTTTCCATTCAGTTGGAAATAATCATGCCAACTGACGAAGTCCATCATTTTTCAGGGGGGTTCACACCATCAACCAGCATGTCATATAGAATTATATAGATATGATTTCTATTATATATATATATTGCTTATCTATATTATATATATATATATTATATATATATTATATAATATAGATAAGCAATATATATATATATGTCATGTCATAGCTTTTGTTTTTGGAGACTTCAGGACTTCTGTGTAAACGGCCTAGCGTTGTGCCTAACTTGACACAGAAGCTGTTTGACAGTTTTTTGGGGGAGAATCCCGGCATCCTGAAGCTTGGGATGTCGATGTCTTCCTGCTGATGTTGCTAGTCAATCGATATATGTAGACAACATATGATTTAATAAAATATGATTATATATAGATAGATAATGATCTAAAACTACATATATGATATAACGACCTCACGTCGCGACCAAGCCCTGGAATCATGGTTAGTAAGGGGAATCATCCCCAAATGGCCTTAATTCAGGTCAGTGAGTTATTATAATTTACCCAGATGTATGTATATATACAGATTTATAGATAGATACTGATCTAAAATGATAATATGATATAATTAATGATATAATATGATATATCTTATATAAAGATATACTATGATATAATATGATGTAATATGAATATGATATGATGATATAGAATAGATCAAATAGATGGAATAGATAGATAGATAGATAGATAGATAGATAGATAGATATAATGATAGAATAGATATAATATACAATACCATCTGTTTATTTAACAGTTCGCCATGGAAAGATCCACCATGCTATTCATAGGTAAGCCATCTATTTCTATGGGCCATCGAAAAACCATGGCTATGTTAGTCATAACCAGATGGTATAATTAAACTATTATTATATTTATTTATTATAATCACTATTTTAATGGGAAAATCACAATTTTTAATGGGAAAATCCCCATTTTTAATGGGAAAATCACCATTTTTAATGGGAAAATCATCATTTTTAATGGGAAAATCACCATTTTTAATGAGAAAATCCCAATTTTTAATGGGAAAATCACCATTTTTAATGGGAAAATCACCATTTTTAATGGGAAAATCACAATTTTTAATGGGAAAATCACATTTTTAATGGGAAAATCACCATTTCTATGGCCACTTTCAATAGCTATGTAAACGGCTTCCGAGGCGCTATTCCCAAGGATGGACCTTCTGCCGGAGTCGCCACCACTTTGGCTTTGGCATCACTGCTTCTGGAGCGGGGAGAACCAACATTGGCTGTTTTTAAACAGTGGTTAAAGAGGTGTTTGGTCATACCACGACAGTGGAATCTATACCATGACAAGATATTAAAAACCACGACAAGAGGGTAGTACATGTCTTCAATTGAACAAGGTATTCGCTACTGGTTAAAGCAACGGTGAAAGTCCCAGAAGCAGCAACTGCTCATGATTTTATATGAGTTTACCATCTGGTTATTTAACATAGCCATGGAAAATCACCATTTTTAATAGGTAAACCATCTATTTCTATGGGCCATCTATACCATGGCTATGAGAAATTTCATATGAGTTTATATGATTTTGATGAGATCCGAAGAGGCCACACTGCCACAGCCAGATATCAGACGTTCACGGCGGCATCCCTGCACTTCCCCTGCTTGTGAGCTGATCAACATGACCCGAAATTTGAAGAAAACACAATTTGCCAGTTGGGCCAGTAATTGAGGTTCTTGAGCTTTAGTTTCATCCCAAGAATATCTATTGTATCACCATCTATAGATACTATAATCTACTATATCTATTAGCTATATCATTCCAAGATATTCCAAGTTTCCCTTTTTGTTTCGCCGCCACCAGGACCGCCCCGTGCGCAGCGACACAGCGGTCACGGGCGAGATTACCTTGCGGGGCCACATCCTGCCCGTGGGCGGCATCCGGGACAAGGCCAGCGGCCTTTTTCGCAGCAAGATGACCAGCCGGATGGGTGGATTCTGGTGGTTTTTTTCCCGGAAAAAAAAGTACGAACCAGCCAAAATGGTGATTGAACCAGCAAAAATGGTGATTTAAAGCTGATTTAAAGCACGAAAATGGTGTTTTTGGATAGAATGGTATTTTTTCTTACACTGGTGATATCTATCATGGTGTTTTTGGATGATATCATGGTGATATCACGGATGATATATGTCACCAAGCACCGTGATAACCCATGGATTTTTTGGGTAGCCCATTTTAAAACAAACCCAATTTTTTTGGGGGTCAGAAAATGGTGATTTATTGTAGCCCTCGTTAAAAAAGCCATCTATATTTTTATGGCCATGTGAATCGGAAGACATGATTGTCTCAACCATCAAAGATGTGTTTTTAAAAATTGGGAACCCTAAGTCATGGTCAATATCAACATGTGTCATGTTTCATAAGGGGGACCCACTGCTTGAGAAAACCTCGAATTTGGCTGTGGGTCCAAAGTGTGGTACCATGCTGTGCACACCTCAAAAGCAGATAAATTGATGTTCATCATCCTTGAAAGATTAGGTCCCCATGTATAGAATCAATGCTTCTCAAAGATTCTTCTCAAAAGAAAGGGTTGCAGCACGGAAATATACGGATGCTATTCAAAATGTAGTGGCCTGGCTTGCAATGTCCTGCAATCCTGTGTGTGTTTTTTAATTATGTGCCCATGGCTTCTCGGCGTCCAAGTTTCATGCCTTCACCAAGAATAATGGGTTTGATCCAGAGAAATTAAGCCTCCACCAGCCGAATGGTGTATTTGTTGAAATAACTGTGCTTCACAATATGCCTGGACTTTTCTATATTTGACGAAGGGCTTGATTTGGAGAAATTGTGTACATATACGAACAAGTGGAGATTTTGCAAAAAAAGATGCCGATGGCCATTTGAGGGGTATACCCCACTACCTTGTCTGACACACCAGATTAGTGTTTTTTCAGTTTTTTTAGTTTTTTGGGACACCCCCCGTAGATCTATCCGAATTTTTTTCAGTTTTTTTCCGAAAATGTGGGTACGTGCACAGGATCCATGCCTGCTACCATTAGAACAAGTAGCAAGTACATATCAACACTAGGTCTCAAAAACACCGTAAAAAATCACGCCTGAAACCGCCCCCAAGCCATACATATATATATATATACGTATATATATATATATATATACGTATATATATATATGTATATATATATGTATGTATAGATATATATATATACGTATCCCTTTATATACCATCCTCATCATGTGGTAAAAAAAAACAAGCCGCAAATAGATGCTGAAAAGTTGGTAGGCTGGAAATGATGAGGGAACTAACATCCTGGAAATGACAAATGTTCGCTCTCTTTTTGGGGATGACAGTCCCGGAGGGTCGAGGTACAGTTAATGGGGTTTATAAGCCAACTATAACCAACTATATATGGTATATATTTTATACATTATATTAACATAGTTTAATGTGATGCATTTGCTATATCATCTATAATATATACATATAGATACATATTACAATATACTGTAATATAATATAGATAGATGACAATAGTATCTAAAGATAATGTATAATAATGTATATATGTATACACATAACCTACATTAACTTGCTATAACCAGCTATATAGGTCTACTTGGAGGATCTTCCCACTTAGTAACTGATTAGTAACCCTGGTTAGTAAGTCCACTAAGTGGGTTATGCCATAGTCAGGTCCTGGCAGCGCATCGTGCCGGGATCCGACATGTCCTGGTGCCCTACGGCAATCAACGGCACCTTGGCGCGTCCGGAAAACAGGCGGCGAGTTGGAGGAAAGCGACCCTAGACCCTCTATTTAACCCATAAGAATGGTGTTGTACCCCAGAATTTGTGTACCTTTTCATCATTTTTACGGATCTTTGGAGGATCCAGGATCCAAAAATGTGTTGGATCGTGGAGTTCCACATGTTTTTTTTGCCAGGAGGCGCCCCTAGTTTCGAAAACGCGAAGTTGGTTTAGTTCGCTAACTTTTCACTTCGCTTTATGGTAGATAGTATATGATATATATATACACAGTAATTCTATACTTGTTGGGGTTAAGTTGGTTTATAAACCAACTTATGGCCGGGCAGCACCACCTTGTAGATACGCTCATTCTTTGGATACTATATCTCCAGTTTTTTGGGTGATTCATTCCATGTTTGATGGCTGATTTCTCGTTCCGTGCCATAGTAATTTCCATGACTACCTTAAGAATTGAATGTCGGTCCTAGTTCCATTTCTTTACGCATTTCTGCATCCGATGCGATGCCACAAAAACGGTGGATCTTTCCGCGCTGAGGCATGTATTGGATGAGATTCCTGAAGCTGCGCTGGCAGATGTGGATGTGAAGTTTGTTCCCTGCCACGATATTCTGATTTTCTCGGATTCTCTCGGAGATGCTTTTTCGCGGCTCGTGGGGATCTTATTTTTGGTTTTGGTTTGCAGGCTATGTTGGCTATGTGTGCCTGAAGAACTACATATACACATAAAAACACCATTTATATCCATTTATATGCATGTTGGATGCAACTATATTATGTCAGTCTGGGAAATGCAGACACATGTACATCAGGTATGAGTACTGAAATGATTGAACTGAATAGCATGCTGGTTTGTTGTTAAGGCCATTTCCTGACATTGGTGACACACGGGTCCATTGGTTGCATTTTGAGTGTTCTTGGTAAGATGTTTTACTAATTCAATTTTTGTTTATGAACCGGCCCATGTCGGCCCTGCTCGGATGAATCATGTTTCTTTTGCCCTTGAATTTAAATCCACTGTTCAGCATTTCATAAATGTTTCAGATCGTGTTGATGGTTGGTCCCTACCACTGAATTATATATAGAGGAATGATGTTCCATTCAGTATCATCTGGGATTTTCAGAACCATATCATCCAGTAGCTTAAGGAATTCCATAAGTCCGGCTCTATCTGGCATTGGGATAGTGACACGTCCGCAACGCTTTGGGAATTCTGATCACCGCAAGGTCACCATAGATAGAATGATGAGTTTTAGAGGGAATTATTCCAAAATTATGAAACCATTCCACTTCAATTAAAAACATAACACCAGAAAATTACTTAACATGTTAAAATTCCATGATAAATTAAGATCACTAGTTGAACCCACTTAAATGATAAGCCACCGAAGCGACTTTATTTCAGGTGACTGGATTAATGTCCCTGTTCAACTGCAATCTTGCTGGTAAATGTTCCATTTTCAGACACACCCAAATATCAGATGGTTGATGAAATTTATAATGATGTGTATATATATATATTTGTATGTCATTAATTCCCGTTAGATCTCATGTTGGTTATTAAACGATTTACATCTCCCATGTCTGTTGCTCAAATCCCACACACATATTCCATTTGTGTTGGTTTTTTAGCACTTGATTAAATCTTCCATCTATCTTTAGGATGCCTTTGTGGCAAAAAATCACGGTCAAAATCACCAAACAGATCTCCCAGTCGGTTTTGAAACGCTTAAATCACCTACCAAGCAGATCTCCTGTGACCGAAACGCCGTCAGATCAGGTGAAGCACATTGACCAAGCCTTGTCCTGGGCCTTCGAAGCCGCCCAGGAATGTTGGGAAACGGTCACGGCATCCGACCGGTGACCAGCCTGGTGACCGTTTGTTGATTGGGGAGATATGATGTTCAGCATAGGGAAACCATGGGAAAGCTCTATTTCAACTATATATATCATGAAAAATATATCAAGCAACTATTTGTTTGTAAGTTGTGAACTGGATGTAAATGGTGAAATCCAGATCGATGGAATATCCCCACTTATGGCTTTATATGGGTTATATACATACATAGATATATAAGAATATATATATTATATATTATATTTTTTTATGATTATATTATATATAATATATGATATATATATATGTGATATATATAATATATATATATATAATATATATATATTATATATATATATGTGGGTTTAAAGTTTCAAGTGATCCCAAAAAAATCCTAGATGGAACATAGAGTTTTCTAGCTGCGGAAAGTCCTATGTAAATGGAGGTTTTAATGATTAGGGAAAATCATGGAACTCCCGTTGCCGGATTCTATTGGGGATTATGATAACCCATAGTAAGCCCGTTCGTAACCAACTCATATTTCATAAGATGGGAAAGCGTCCACTACGGCTGGGAAATTGTTTAAGCTCAAACAGTGGGTAGTTATAGCTATCAGCTATCTCAGTAAATCTGATGTACCCTGGGATAAATCAAAGTAGATGTGGAAAAAACATGACGAAACCCATGGTAAAATGCTCTACATTCATGGTGGGTCTTCCAGATGTTTGTGAATGTTTACCATCCCAAAAGGGTAAATCTATACCCACATTTGTGAGAGAAGGATTTTGAGGATTTAGAGATACTATGTAAATATAAAAAAAAATACGTATATTCTTTTTTGGGTGAGTTATACTATATAGTCTCTTATGGCAGTAAATTGCTTCCACAATGGTGCTAGTCTTTTCCTGTGATCCCCTTAAGGTGAGGGATCGTATCGGCCATGCGGATTGATATAAAAGATATAAAACTGTGGATCTTTGTTTTTTGGCCCAGGGATACCCTTTGGTAAACTAACATAGCAATGGAAAATCACCATTTTTAATGGGAAAATCCACTATTTCGACTGGGCCATTTTCAATAGCTATGTTAGTCATTACCAGAGGGTAGCAAATTGAATCTTACAACTATCAGTAACTATCAAGAATTCCAGGCAAAAAACCTGGGGTATCAAAGATTGGCGGGGCGTACTCGGGCTGCTGGACAACCTGCGGTTCTTTTGTTGTTCGAGGATTTGCTGAAACATTGATCAACATGGGGTTTTCAGCAAAAAGTAATGTGATAAACCCAAAAATAATTAGATCATACCACCCATCTCATTGGCTTTACCTCCGCAGTAGCGCAGCTTCCCCGGGCTTCCCCGGATCGCCAGGAGCAAAGCTTTCCACCCAGTGACCCAAAGATGCCGAGAGCAAAGCTTTGAGGATGATCCCCAGCGAAATGGGCAGAATTTGTTACGGCTTTGGATCTGAAAATGGGACAAATCCACTGGTTGATCGTAGTTTTTCCCAATTGCCATAAGGTGGGGGCACTCGTGGGGCACCCTATTTTCCGAGCCAAATCATGTCCAAAATGTTGGTCATTGGACATGGTTGGATCAAAATGATGGGCATCTCACTGTTGGCTGTTTCCTTAAGGACAGGGCCCCAGGGCTTGAAGCACCCACGCAAGAGTCAAAGTGGGGGAAAAATCTTGGGAAAAAAACAGTTTTAACTGCCATCCTGAGCCATTTGACATTGGAAACACATCCCAACTGATCTGTTTCACGTTGGGCCTCACGAATTTGGGACGCCAGTTTTTTTTTTGTTGATCCGAACCCTGACGGTCGACCATGTACCGACAGATCAGGGTGTAGAGTTCAAAATGTTGGTGCCTTAAAATATGGAGAATTTAGTACTTCAAAGATATCTCAGATATCTCCAAACGACTTGTCAATCTTTGGTGAACCCTGGGAACTTGTTTTGATTCATAGCAATCCAACTCCCGTGCGAACATCAGCGAATCTTGTCAGATGACACAGGTCGGATAGCTCCAAGGTCTTTGAACAGTGCAGTCTCAATGATTCGTGGCTCTGCTGGTTCATCATGGAAGCCATCCCAAAAATGACTTACAGTAACTTAACATCTGTCTCATGAAAGGTGCATGCTGTTTTCAGAATCATTGAATGATATTGGATAGTGGTGCACTGAGTACATTGCATTCCAAGCTCCATGAGTTTCATAGTTTTATGCTGTTTTAGCCAGGTCACTCACTGGGTGGTTTAATAAACAATAGTATACCCTCTGGTAAACTAACAGTTTGCTATTGAAAATGGTCACTTACAGTGAGTTTTCCTATGAAAAATGGTGATTTGCCATAGCTATTTTAGTTTACCAGAGGGTATTCCTTGCGGGTATCATGGACTGATTTCTCACTGTTGATCAACGGCCTGGAGCTTCAGAATTTTCCGCCACTGCCGCGGTCGGCCGGGCCATCCAGAGATGCTAGGAGGTAGCCCCATGACTTAGGAAACCTCCATATGTTCTTGTTTCTTGATTAGAGGTCTGTGTATACTCAACAAGCTTAGATCCCCACATGTTGTTGCTCAAGAGTTTAGATGTTTTTTTTCACCAAAAAATATGATTGAATGAAGGTACATGTGGCTGAATAGTTTGTACCATTGCTGTGGGTTAAAGAAACATCCACCACTCTTCACTGAATAAATTTGTGTCTGTATCAACACGCATTTTTTGGATCACCAAAGAGAGATCCAATTTTGGCACGCTCCCATGTGTTTTGATTTCAAGAATGATGGTCTCTCCATGACTCACATTGGTGTGCATGCTGTGCATCCAAATAGGGAAAAGTCAAATGCGACCCACATTGTCCATCACACGTCTATTCTGTAGAGGAAATCAGACAAGTTTGTGGCCTCCCACATGTTTGCAATTGTTGACATATATAATTGATTGATTAATATTTATATAATGATATATATATAATTATATATACACATATGCGGATCCAAGAGTTCAGGGTGATGATTGTTGGATGTATCTTGGCGAATTTGATTCTCTGTGGCACTTCGGTTGGTGAACTTTCTTGGACAGTTGCGACCCGCAGAAAGCGACGATGCGACGCGGCAGAAAGTGCGTGGTCAGATAAAACTGTGCCGCCCTGTGAGATTTGATTCTCAGGGTATATGTAGATATATGATGATATGTATATATATATATAATATTATATATATATTATATATATATATATATTATGTATAATATCAGATTATACAGCTATTTATTTATAGAATTACAACGTACATGTTGATGCGGGCATTTATCCATCAAAATCTATGTATCAAATATATTGATCTGTCATAATCATACAGATTCAGCAGCTATGACAAGCCCGCTCCCGGAAGTGGTCGATGGGAAAAAGCGCCCGGAAACCTCTATATTTTTTGAGAAAAAGGCGAGGGTTTCCTGTAGATTTTCCCTGAAACCAACCCATTCACAAATGCAAAACCCATGTTCGGGACCAGGAGGCATCCCAGATTCGGAAATGGACGATGGGATCGGCCATGATCATTAGTGCGGTCATTTTGTAACATAGGTCAAGCAGTTCGGACAGAGTGAGGGGTTTTGTGGTAGGTGCAATGTGGTGAACGCTTGAAATAAACCATCCCGAATATATGACCTGTTTTAATGATAGCATATATCATCCGCAAATGGTTTTCTTGTTCATGGCATTGGGGTAATCCCACATGACATCACCTGAAAATCCCATGGAGAATCCCATTTTTTTGCTGTGGCATCTTTTGGCCCCGATGAAAATCTGGTTCCGGACCAGGTCGGCGCCGTGGCAACGTGGAGTGCAATGCCCGCGCCAGCGACGAGGAAGTGTTGAGCTTGACGGATGAGGAGACCTTTGCGACACTGGATCTGGAGTGGCAGAGTGGTTGGATGGGAGTTGAACTATTTCATCAATGGGAAGGGGAGAATGGAAATCATTTGGGATATATATACAATATATATATATATGGGTGTATTATAGTGATTTATATTGGATCTGGAGCTGGTTGAACTGTTTCAACCCATGGAATAAGCAGAATGGAAATTATGGGATATAATTGGGATATAATTGGGATATATTGATATATGGAGGTTTCCTGAGTCATAGGGCCCCAGTTCTCATCCATTTTACATTCGGATCTGAAATAAACCATAGAAAATCTTGGATCTGGAATGATCTGGAGATGGGATCGGATAGGGCCCAGTCTGCCTGAGATCCATCGCCCGGAAACGAACCACGACTGGTCGATTTTCCAGTCTGCCTGTGGTAGTAAAAACTGGAAGGTCACCGAGCAAAAATGGGAATGAGAATGGAAATAGTGGGGACACATTGAGTGATAAACTGGTGATATGGATCTTGGTTGATGTGCTTTGGTCATTGGATTGGCTCATTCGATATGCTGACTATCTTCAACTTGTCTCTGAAGGTCACGTCAGATCAACGAGGCTATAACCAAAAAATCCAGCTCTACGGTTGTGTGACTTAAAATAGGCGATTTCTCCCCATATTTTCTCACTGGTTGATCATCATGTTCCCCCTTGGCCAACAAAAAACTACCCGTTTCTGTGGGTGGTTGCGAAATCCGATAACCACCAATTTGGGATGGTTGACACCCTATAAATAATGGGATGTTTACCATCTATCAACTGGTGATTCGGATTTCTTCCACCCAGCGTATGTTCAAACAAAGCCAGCCAGATGGTTCGGTCAATGGTTTGGTTTATGGCAAATCCCACATGGATTGAAACCTGGAGAAATCACATCCGGGGATAGACCTGTTTTGATGCATGGATGTGTATGGAAGCATATAGTGATCCACAGATGATCATTAACGGGCCAAAGGTATGTAGCTTTCTATATATTATATATATACATGTATGTAAATTGTTTATTCATATGTATATATATATATATTTATACGTACATACGCATATATAATCATTTATATATATGAACTTCCGATTGGAACTGGGGACTTTGCAAAATCAATCTGGGTCTTTGCTGGGGTAGCCGATTCTGGCTCTGGGGTAGCCCATCGTTGGTGATCATTCGTTGCTGCCATGGGTGTCTGGCGTGATATTTCATCCTCTGAAGACGAGGAGGAGGAGAAATTGTCAATCCCCATGAGAATATTTCAATTGTTTTGATATCATTCCCCCATGATCCCATGATGGATCCAAACCCCTTGTGCAGGATTGCACGATGACAGTGGAGCAGGAGAGCTTCATCTACTGTGGCGCCCTCTTTCTGCAATTGGCCGGACTTTTGGCTAAACATTTTACAGGTATCTACCTAGTGTCATTCCAAATGGCCCCTCACTTGGCCACATCTAGCCTAGGACTATCTCACTTTCTTCGGCGGTGGAAGGGCACCTTTGGCTACATCTCGGATTGTAGCCTGTCTTGCATGTGGCCCAATACTGAACAAAATTGAAGATCAGAAGATCCCGGTTGTAATATCAGTCATTGTGGGCGGTTTTTCCTTCTATTTAAGACTTAGGCAGTGGCATGGATGCACCACTGTTTGCTTTGAAGCTCCTTTTTGGAGACCGAGCCTGGAAAATCAAGTATTTGCAACTTGGGCATAAAATCATTGTGTGTTCCACTGGGGTCATTTGTATAGATTCACTCATATGCTAACATATCTAACATATGCTAACATTATATAGGTTCACTCTCCCACACCACACATACACACATACACACACTGCTCTCCACAGAGTCTTGATCAGGTGCAACAGCGACATCAATGCTGCAGCCCGGAGATTTTTGCAAATGAATCATTCGCATCCAGTCCAGCGACTTGGCATCGATCGCAGGTGAAACACATACCAACTCAGAATTATCCTGACAACAACATTGTTTTTTTTAGCTGCCCACATCTTAGGGCCAAAACAGATATCTTTGAGAAAGATTCAGTGACCTTTGTGAAGAAGGCCAGGTGGCACAAATTGTGTACCACTCGTTAACAATTGCCGAAGTGTTTGCCTGTGCCGGGAGGCATGCCTGTACGTTGCGGGATTCCCATGTACTCCATTCAGTGTACTTCATGGAGGAAGTAAGCTTTTGGGAGACAAGAATGCTGGACAACTCTATGAAGTAATCAGAAGGCTGAAGCGACTATGTCCTGCAGCTTCTTGCCACTCATTGAGTAGATTTGAGTACATATCATCCGGAACTTTTTGAAAGAAACACTGGAAATGCCCAAAGCCTGTTTGAAATCTAGGCTGGCATACTGGAAAACGTGGTTGGCTTTGTGCGGGTCATTACTACGATCTTGGAGGTCTTGCAACATAATCTCCCAGAGTAACTCGGTTTGTCTTTGACAATGGCATACAATTTGATGATTACAACCCTGGTAACAACCCTGACTCTGAGGTATGAAATTACATGGCAATTTATTGATCCGTCTCTTGGCATCCATCTCTTCCCATGTTGGTGCAACAATTGTTTCCCACCATGTCATTCCCATGTTTTAATCCCAGCATGAGGCATGACTATGGAAGCCCCATCACTCGCAGAAGGGTTTACATCCTGTTGATCAAGCGCGATTTGATGGTCCCGGCTGCCCGAAAAGACTTTGAAGCCTTCGCTGCTGCAAAGTTGCAATCGCTGTTCATGGAACGGGAGACCAGCTGGATTCTTTGGCTATACTAGATATCATCCGTCCCATTGTAGCATACATCCATGATAGTTCACTGCAATTTAGCCTTTTGCCTAGGCAAGATCTCTTGCTGCCAAACGATCACCCGATTGTCCAAGAGGTGATTGATGAAAGGGTTCGCCAACACAATAGAAGCAAGGTCTCTCTCTTCAGGATGAAGCTTGTCCCAATGATAATGATACCTCAATTGGTTGATGTATGTATGTTTCTTGAATGTCAGAATGGTCAACTCTTCATTTTTTGAGTAGCTGAGGCCTCCAAAAGACAAGAAATGGGTTCAAGTTCACAAAACATGGTCGAAGAAACACAAGGCCATGACTTTTCACCCCCAATATCAGAGGACTTGACTTTCTTGGCTAGACTAATAGATTTTAGACCTATCTCCAGCAGGTACGTCGAGCAGATGGGGCTTTCAAGAAGGCCTACCCAAATGCCTATACACAAATCACTTCGCAGCGGGAGCTCAAGGCCTGAATGGGACGACGGGTTCTGAATTGGACTTCCATCCTGGTTTTGCAAATTATTGATGGACTGTTGAGGCCCTGGATCTACAGATTTGCAAAAAGAAGGAGTTCCTTTGCATCAACACCAGTCAGATGCTCCATCGTATGCCTCGTGTGGATGACGGACCGTTGAGGACACTTACGCTAGGGCCTTAAATACTAGACTACTTGCAGTAAGTCAATGGGCTAGCTTCTCACTGCACAAAGCACAGAATGAAAGAATTTTCATCAAAAACATGTTCTATGATGATCAACTGGCTACTTGTCCACAACTGAGTCCCAATGGAACATATTTGCTTGGACGCCAGCAACGGTTTCTCACAGGATGCCCGGCCGAAGTTAGCCACTAGCTAGTAATCATTGCATCAATCGGAAAATGAGGTCCCCCACAGACTCCTTCAAAGAAAGAAGTGCAGACTGAATAGCCTGCCAAGCCAAGGACTCGAAACCCTCTTGCTCATGGGACTGCCGATTGATGGGCTTACCTTGGACAGCCTCTCCAACAAGGATACCCTGCTTGTAGGAACTCATGGTATTTCAGTTTGAATGCAACAGTAGCAGAACTAGCTGTGCCTAACAACAACCAATTGTTTATGATCTATTTGACACCAACCAAGGATTTGCACCAAATGGGTGGCAATTCGATGGCTATTCGGGCAGTCATGGCTGCCATTTCTGTGGTACTGAGCGGGTTGGACCCGGACTTGGCCCAGTCCTACCTGAATCCATGATGGCATTCCAGCCTATTTACTGTAAATTAGGATGCAATGGGTACAAGAGCCGTTCGTGGGTGCAAAACATGTAGCGTTGCGACAAACCTGGGAATCCTGGATGTTTCACCATCGGATTTGATTGTTGCATTTGCCAGGGTCCGGCTCAATGAAGGTTAGTGTGCCAATGGCTGGTTTATCTTCATGCACTTTTTACTGGGGTCGACGTAACCATGGACAAATGAATAAAAAGGTTTATCTATATATAATATATTTCTTGGTCCAAATATATGTATCATGGAGATATAAACTTAAAGCCCTGTGGATTTGTAAATGGTCCTAATATGTACTATGGACATGTGAATCCAATTTACTCTTTAGAATGGTCCCCATTCGTACCATGGAGAAATGAATCCAATGTGAATCCAAGTGTCACCATACTACAGATCTTGTGAACCCTGCCATGCCTGTCTTGGCCCGCTATGACGAGTCCAAAGACGACTTGGTCTCTTCAAGGCCTTCAGGACTCCAGCGATATGAGGAAACATCAAGTGAAAGTGCTGGCCATGATCAAGAAGAGTTTCTTGGCTCAACCTCAACAAATCATGAAGGTCCAACAAATTTGACCCAACAATTTCCAATGATGGCCGCAACTGCTTATGATTAGCCTGGCCACTGGTCTATTCTTAGGTCTGATCAATCGTCGGGTGAGTCTACGACTAGCGATGGGGAACCCAAGACTTCCGAAGTAGATTTGAGTATCAATGGTCTTCACTCTCTACATGCTTTGGATGAAGCATCAGATGTCTCAACTTTTGCGGTTCATGGGTTGGACTCTGCCAGAATGAAGAAACTGCTGAAATCTCCGCCTTGCGAATGTCAGTGTCGCATCCCATTTGGAGTGCTGCATCGGGCCTGCTCGGCATTTTGGAAGTTGCCAAAACAATCGCAAGATGCATTTTTGTGGAGTATTCAGTGTGGGAAAGGAAGAAAGTCGACCTGGTCAATCGAAGGATTTACAGTACAGTGATTTGTTTTTCTCAATTTCACAGTGTTTCATCATCAATGATTCCATTCAGAAGGGTTCCAATATAAGTCATTATATGGACAACATCGTTCAACAGTTAATTTATAGTTTTTGTTGCGATGAGACATGGGATGGATGGACGGATAGGATATCACTTCCTCCCTCCCCTGACAGGATTCAAACTTTGCAAGACTTCATGGCTGAGATACCTTGGTATTGGAAAATCTCGGATGCTACGAACTGGTAAACGTTTCCGTGGAATTGATGAAAGGACGATCAACCAAGGTTTCATAGAAGCATTTATTTTGGATTTGATATCATTCAAATGTAGTTGGTCAGTATCAGGATGGATTTTCTCGTTTCCCATGGGTACCCTGAGTGTTGGTTCATTGGCTAAGGTGCAACTACCAAACCGGCCAATCAGACTGCATCTGCCAACACATTCTTCTGTCATCTCTACTGGACGGCTGGTGAGTGTATGCCGACCAAGAAACTTAGCTGCAAACAAATCCAAAAGAGATAATTCTTGGAAGAATTTAAAACATTCCAATGTTCAGAATCATCTGTGTTTCCCTTGTAACAGTTTGTAACTGGAGGTTCGAATCTTCAACAACTGCTGAGAGAACCCGAGCCGATGAAGCTTTGAAGGAAGACTTGATGATTAAGCTCATTGATCGTATGTTGCTTGGGGGCACACAACAGGTTTTAGACATGGATCCCTCAGCTTTGCCCCTCCGTGAACTCCCACCTGGGAATGTAGCCAGCCTCTATTTGATGTATTTGGCATACTGCAAACCTGCCGGTCAAGTGCCATGTGGAAAGAGCACATTTTACTTGGTTGCAAAGTCATGGTGGCCCTGCTTACGCTTTCGCCATGCATCAGAGCATGCCATGTGTGTCCAATGTCAGACGTTAAAGGCAGCCATCCGGGCTGCAACGGAACATTGGTCATACCCCATTTATGTTGTAACATTTTGGATTTGTATTATTTGATACCTTTTGATTTAGATTTCATGGGCTTGGTTTTGTGTGATATTCACTTTTTACTTCCTGAGGATTTCCAGGAGCACTCCCGACTATGCAAAGCCCTACTTGACCATTACCATGGACAGTGGTTGGACCGTCGTGTCTATTGGGCTGCCAGAAACAGGTCCATCTACGATCGGGACCTGGTAACGCTAATCGTTGACAGTTTTGACAAATCGAAGCTTTACCTGCCAAAGTTTCCATTCTCTCGAACGCCCAAGCGCACAATTTACGAGAATTGCAACCGTCTTTGGGACTAAATCTTTATCATGTTGAAGGTGGTCGGTTTGGGTTCTTGTTTACTCCGTCCGAACTTACCCCCATATGACAACAATGTAATGAACGTGATGATGCTGGTGGTGGCTACTATGATAGATGATGACACTTTTTCTGGACTCAGGTGCATCTTTGGTTCTCACAGCTGTTCTCGCCCATGGATATGGCTGCTTTATGTACTTGGCCTTGGAGGGCATGGGTGCTGGCTCCAACTGGAACATTGAATGTGCCACTTGCCTGAAAATTCTTTGGGGTGTTTCTGGAGTCAGTGTGGGTTTATAGTGTGTGCATGTGTGTGTGCAGGATTGTTTCTCGGGTCTTTGTGCGTTTTGGGGGTCAACCATATTTTTTTGTTTAAGGTGATGCGGACTTTGGAGAAGGTTTGGATTCGATGCCGTCAACGATGTCATCAGTTCCCCTCCGAGTGTCTCAACAGAATTCTTACTCAGGGAGTGGCTGGATTTTATTTAATATTGAGGTACTTTTGTGCACATGTGGAGCCATTGAAAAATGAAGGGTACTGAGGGGATTTTGCAGAAACGGAATACAAAATGTTATTTCTTTTTAGACGAACATATCAGGTACTGGTTACAATCCGACAACACTGTCAAGGAAGTACGCAACCAATTTGGAAGCAAGCTTCTGATCACATTGGCACAAGCCCAGACCTTCAGAGTGTGCACACTTGCACACCTGAAGGTCGGACACACGCATGAAGACGTGGATGCTATTTTTAGCATAGTATCCTCTTTCTTGAGAACAGCACAGAACATTGAAACACCACGAGACTTGCAGCGATTGATTTCCGACCGTGTTGCTCCAATCTTCACGAAGAAGAACTTGGATTTTGACATTTCCATTGTTGATGTGGTCACTTTGAAGTAACTATTGTAAAATCTGATTTTGGTGTGATGCTTTGGTTGTTCTTTTTCTATGGGGCTGGTTGTTCTTTTTCTATGGGGCCAATCACTTTTTACTTGACAATTGATTTGTTCAATATATCAAGGTACGTGAATGGACTGCAATCCTTCCATCTGGGATTACATTGAAGAATGCATACAGACAAAGGGCTGCAGCTAGTGACAGTGCTCCGCTTCCCCAGACTTTTACATTCATGCGGAGGGGGTTCATGCCTCGACGTGCTCAGGGGCTTCAGGTCAGTGATCGCTTGCCACGCTCAATGCAGACTGATGACATGGAGACTCAAGACAATGATGTTTTTGCAATGATGAAGGAATCTATGTCTGACAGTGGTCTATGTCAGGACCCATTGTTGGTGATGCCTGGTGGGCTTTTGCGTGAGTCATCTAGCTGTTTGTTGACTGCGAACAGTAGTGACTGTCCTCTCGTTACTGGGGTGATTGATGCTGATCGACTTACAGAGCTACGGGCAATTCAAAGGGCCCTTCAAAAAGATTTTCCTCACATGCGCAGGGCAGTGACCTTTTATGATACTTTGTTGGCTGGGGGTGGTGAAAATTTGCAGAGTGTGCCCAAGCTTACCTTTCTTGAGCATGCTCATAGGCAAATCCTCCAACCTGACGCTCCACAGTTTGGTGCACAGCCCAAAGGGCCAAAGCCCCACGAGTTGCAGGTGGTTTTTCATCGTTCCAGGTGAAATCAACACCTCTTCAACCATGGAACTTTGCTGGTGGTGGGGTGTCCACTGGCATGAGAGCATTCCCAACCATGGAAAAAACTTGCATGCATCATATAATGGTTTTGATTTCAAGATGAGATTTATGACTACCGTTTGCGACAGCATGTCATTACCATAGGTAGGGTTTTGTTTCAAGGAAAGGCTCGGTAGGGTTTGGCCCGTGATGTCGGATGAAGAAACGACAGCTCCACATGACCCCATCGACGCAATAAAGACGTACTTCAAAGTTGTTCCCTGGTTCAGTTTAAACTATGTCTTTTAATGGGGTCTGTGTCTTTTATATTTTTTCTCGGATGTTAAGAGTACATTGTTTGGTGGATACTTATCCTTGTTTTCACGAGGCAAATTTCCATGGGGCGATTCCTGAAATTGCCTAAGGTGACCTCAATGAAGAACCTTGGTGAGCATCTCAACGAAGTCTTTGCAGATCGGAGCAAGATGGAAGCTGCACCTTCCTTGCAAATAATTGTCTTACCTGAGTCTATAATCGTGAACCAGGTTGGGTCCATGGTTGTTGTGTCTGTTGTTGCGTTAGGCAATCAATGACTTGGTGCTGGATGGAGCCATTCCCTCGTCCAAGCAGCATGCAATCCTGGTGCCCAATCAAAGCATGGATGAGTTCTATTTGCCTCTTACTGCCTTTGACTATTCAAAAGCCGCGAAGAATGGATGTCGGGGGTTTTCAAAAAGTATCAAACGTTAAATCAAGTTTCAACCTTTCTGGCGTTAATCTACACCCAATGTTTATGGAGTGTTCACTGTGTTTTGTTCGCCCTTGTCCCTGAAGTTTTCCCCTCCAATGTGCAGTTCGAGACCCACATGATGGAATTCCTGAAGCATGGGTATCGTTCTTCCATTGGGAATTGTGAAGTCCGATTTCCTTTGGCTACTGGGGACCGGCGCATCCGACCATTCACGGTTGGACTGGATGACGGATTTGTCAAGATCCTTCTGATGTTCTCCATAGTTGCTTTTACCCGGGAGTTGGAGATTGAAATGAAGGATGATGATGGCAGTTTGAAGCGGGTGTTGGAGAGCTTCCGTTCAGTTCGGTGTTCCTACACCTTCTTTGAAAACCCTTCACATCATTTTTTGCATTCCCTCAGCTACTTAGTTATATTTGTAAACATTTCAACCTTTGGGTTTTTACTTTGGGAAGTAGTAAATGTTCATATGTTGTGTTGGGCTTGCAACTGTTGCCAACTAAGAAACCCAATGGGTAACAGCGGAGAAGCAAGTTCCAAGTCCCATCAACATCATGGCGGACATCAAGGAAACGATTGCTGTGGAAAAACGGCTCAACCGCCAAGGTCGGGGTGCACTCAAGGACATTCTTGGCAAGGTGATTGCTGAATACAACAAATTTTGCTCCAACAAGCGCCACAGAATTGACTCCACCCGCCGGAGTTTGATATACAATCTGTTCTTTAACTTGCATTCAGAAACTTTATCCCTTGATTTATTAGGCACCAATTGGTATGCTACTTTGACCAGGGTTTTCTTCCAAATTGGATGTTACCGTTACCAGGCTACGATGCCCGGACGAAGCCATACAGATGTTGCATGACCACTACGACCTGTACAAACATGAGGTCTCAGGACATGACTTGATAATTTCTGACTGAGTATTCCCGTCAGACTGGGTTAATTCTATCCGAAAATGATTTAAAAGGTGTGGTTTAACTTCCTTAAAAAAAATAAAGATGGGGGTTCATTTCAGCGTGTCCGACCCCTGAAGGATTGCCGCATGAGGTCTTGGCCCAAGACTATTTTGTCCCGGGATCATGCACCAGAAAGGAAGTGGAACGCTACAAAGGCAAACCAGTTTTTTCAGAAATCCTCACGACCAGCAATGAGACCCTGGTTCTTTATTTCCAGCGAGTTACGAAGGACACTGGAGTTTCAATCACTTGGCTCCATAAAAAGTCCTCAATGTAAAAAATATTTCTGACTTTGTTGCCCACTGATCCACCCGTCATGTGCCGTGATAGCCTCTCCAGCTTCCACCTTTCAGGACTTTTGTCGCAAAGCCTCCAAGGACGCTGCGCTGAAGGCGAAGGCAAGATATTGTGAAAATGGGTTGCTGGTGACTATATTTTTCAATAATATACATCATGTATATATATTAAAAAGTTTTAAACATAGAATTCTACAATATATAATTATAATATCTTGTAATATAACAAACATCTAATATACAGTTTATATATCTATTACATATAATATATTATTTAATATTATATAGTATATGATATTTACATAATCTATAGAATATTATATAGTAATAATTTATGTTTTGTATAGTAAATATTTAATATATAGTACTATACAGAATATATAAGGTATATTATTTAATATAATAAACAATATAGAAATATATAATGACAAATATTATATAATATATTATATTATTTAATATTATATAATCTACAATATTATACTTATTATCCATATTGCGAATGTTACCAATGATGTTTGAAGCCCCCTTTCCAGAAACAAGCTCAACGGAGTGAAGAAGAACACCATGAGCTACATGACATCTGCTGTGCTTGGCTTTGGGCTCGGAACAAGATGGAGACAGAGTTCCCTAAAGATGTGATTGACCGATACACTGGTTTGTTCTTTGACGGGTTTCTTGCCCAAGAAAACTTAGTAATCTGATTCTGGTGTCTCAGTTTTATCCCCAGAAATGGTTTATTTTTTGGAGCTAGAGAATTGGTTGCCATTCTTTGTTGGCTAGATGACTTAAATTGTGATTGGCTGCCAAAATTATTTGGCTAAAAATTGGATATGGTGATGGGGTGCCAAGAAAATTTGGCTAACCGAGGAGACTTGTGATGTGTTTTCCAGAAAACACGTCGCAATATCCAATTGATGACTAACGGATGATGGGTTCCATTTCCGGCCAAACCATTTGAAATCAATCAAGTCTTGGATCTTCAAATTATGAGCCTAGTTTGATGTAGTTTCTGGAAACTGCGTCGCAAAATCCTAGTTTCCGGGGAAACGCATCATGGATGCAAGTTGAATTATTAACATATGATCTTGATTGGGACCCTGAAAATCAATGATTTTGTGATGCAGTTTCTAGAAACCGCGTCATTTTGATTTGCTTGGTCTAGGATTCCAAAGTTGATTGGGTTCCTATAAGTTCTTTATGATCTTGATTGGGGTCCTGGAAAATAGTTGTATCCCATATCATTTTGATCTGCTTGGTCTGGGATTCCAAAGTTGATTGCTATTTTCTTTCTGTATAGTCACCATATAAAAATGCTGTCAGTCAGACGTACTCCAAGTAAGGGCCTTAAACCCCAATTTTGAGACGTTTGGTATCACAAGTGCACAAACAATCGCACTTATGATTTTATTTACTAATTATATATTCGAAATTATAGTCTGATCAAAAAAGACAAATCATAAACATCACATGCTATCTGACTTACACCGGGTGTATCACTTCTAGTCCCACTAGCTTCATGGATTAAATTCAATCGCCAAATGGTGTGAAGGACTGCATGTAGCCCCTAGGATCCACTTGATGTTGTTGTTGGTTCGAAACTGCATCCACCAATTAAATATTCTATTTTTTTATGCACGCAAGATACCCCCGGCACGATTCTAAGGCACTTGGACGGCGATCTTGGTACAGCAATGAAGGCTGCAGATCCTGGCTTCGAACATTCTCGCTTGCCATTTCTGCTGGAAGTGACTTGTCTTAAAGAGGCAAATGGGTTCTTTCACCTACTGGTCTTTACTTGGTAGAAGGCATCATATGGTATCTGGGTCACTTTTGATGACATCTGGGATGCTATTGCTAGGCAAAAGGCCAATCTGTCCAAGACTATCTGGTGGCCCATCAAGATCGCAGCAAAAATGCCCATGCCAAGAGCATCAGGGCTGCCTTCGTGTCATGGTCCGAAGATCTCCATTCAGATCAAGCTCAATTCATGGCAGAAAAGCTCAAGACACTTTGGTTGTAACAAACCAATTTTGATTTCTTTTTTGGGGAGTAACAAGTAATCAGTTTACCTTTTTTGCCAAACCTGGATTACTCAGAAATTTTGAACTTAGGGCTGAGAAGGAGAGTTCCAAGATTCGATCCAACTTGATCCGGCAGTTGGAGGAGATACTTCAGGGCAAAGTTGAAACTCAAGTCAAATGCTGATTTTTGATGTTAAGATTAAACCAACATGGTTCTCCAGGGGCTATGACATGCGACTTTATGCATTGCCAAAAATGACAGGACTGCCACCAACGTGCTTGGTCTGTGGTAGACAGTTTCCTGAAGACAACCATGACGATCTTTGGGGGGAAAATTGGGGAAGCCGAATCGACGCTGATGCCAGAGGTTCGTTCATGGGTCAGGTCGATGACTCAGGAACTGGGACCGTCGCCGGATGGGACTGCCGTTATCCTCATCATCAACCTTCCTGGGATGGGAATCCTGGGGGCTTCTGCCAAATCCTTTTTGCTTTCGTTTGTGACGAATATGTTGGCAGACTTTCCAGAAAACAGCGTCGCCCTCTTGGTTCATTCGAACCGTGCCAGCCAGCAAGAGGGGAGGACACCAATGGTCCAAATGCATTTGGTTGTTACTTTTATTTATGTCAAGGAATGGCTAGCATGGCAACTAATGACATATATTTTGATAGTCCATAACCATCCATAACTATCTATAACCATCCACAACCATTTATTCATCAGTAAGTTGAAAGATGGCAAAGTATTATATAGTAAGGGAATCCATCAGCAACCATCAACATTGGTTCCAAATATAATAGACTTTAATCAATACCCAATGGGTCAAAATGGGTCAAAAATAATACCAGGAAGCCTGGAGTGACGAAGGATGAGGACGAGGACATGGAAGAGAAGGCAGGACTGAAAAAAGAGGAGGAAGATGATGACGATGATGAGGATGGCAAAAATTCAAAGACTGAGGGGGAAGAACTTCAAGTTCGAGATGTTCAGTACAAGCTTGAGACCCTTTTCTTGAATGATCCCAAATCATCCCTATCCCTAGTTGTAAAATCCCATCAACCTGTTAAAGTCATGCCCCTTGTGTCACCCTTGCCTTGATCAATCGCCCATCGCCGTTGCTTGAGGAAGGACCTCGGCATGAAGGAGCGTGGGCTACGAATTCGCCCTCTCACGTGGGTGTTTGACCCGGTGCCTGGTCCAACAGGGGTTATCCAACAAAGGGGGGTTTCTTACTGACAATGGGGTTTACCCAATATCAACTCTATCCAATATCGGTTCATTGTTTATATTCAATTTTTGATTGAAGGAAAGAGAAACAACTTTAATTCAATGCATTGCTATGACTTTCTTTCCTCTATAACCGTTTGCAACCACTGTTTATGTGGCTATCATTCCAATTCTAAGGATTCAATCTATGGCAAGCGCGATGGAACGATTCAGGGCTTGGCAATGGTGCGGAAGGGTGCTCGATCACTGTTTCACAACACAAAGGGGTGGAAGCAGGGATGTGTCCATGGCGTGAAAATGGTCAGCCGCCAAGACATGTTCAAACCAGACCCTTGGATATATTGGTGTATACTAAGGGGACATTCCAGAAATTAAATCATTTCTTGATGTAATCAAGCCAAATTCAAACAAACAATATCCAAACTTCTTTGGATTATTCCTTTGTTGGCCACCCTTCCATGCTGTGGCCGTGGCAAGGACACACCCGGCCGATCTTCGAGCTTTCCCCACCTGGGCCGTGCATTCACTGATGTGCAGGAGATGAAACAAGTGATTTGGCAAATAGCCATGCGAGAAACATGGAGAAAATAAGAATCACACTTCAACAAATATAGCACATCATATACTAAGTGATGCATCCATTAATTGGATCTCCTCTGGGATTGCTTTACTCTAATCATCTAATCGAGTCATTTTATTTGCAACCATGTTTTCAAACCAAGGCTGCTGCTGGCACAGACTTTGTTCGAAAAACCATCGAATCGTTTTTGCCAGCAACGGCAAAGTCAGTGGTTTTGGTGGATGTGATGGCCTACGATGGCGCGCCTGCTCTTGCAGCTCTGGAAGTTGCTCGCTCATCAAACCTTAGTCTGGGAGTGTTTGGATTTGTCGGCAACTTGGTGATAGTTTCTTGTGGGTAAAATCCTGCATTCTGGAAATCTTGAAACTTATCTTTGATAATTGCAAATCTATGATCATCAATGATGAATTGTTAAATATTGGAGGTGATTGGCTAGATCGTTGGGGGCCTGATATGATGATCTGTGGTCATTGACAATTGGGTATCAGGATATAATGATTGGTGGTGATATGACGGATTGAAGATGACCGAGAGTTATCCCAAGCCTAGTTCCATTGGAGATGATTTCGGGATAATAATCCAAGAAGACAAAATGGGGGTAATGATGCTTAGAAGGAGATCTTACATATCTAACATCATAATAAATTGGGGGTATCCAGCCACCTCATCCAACAAACCCACTGAGGAGCACAGTGATGGGAGGCCAATCGCATGCGGGACCATTGCCATTGACAATTCGGGCCAGGAGTTGTTGAACCGCATTGCAAACACCACATACGAAAGATGCCGCAATGGCAGCCTGACGTTGCCAGCGTTTCCAAATTTCGAGCCCCACATTCAGGCACTGAAGAACCATGCCCCTGTTGCCGAGAACAAAACGTACAAAGTGACATCCCAGGTACATGATCGCCTTGTCATTTTGGAAGCTTTGGCTTCTAAGTGGCTTGGGGAGGAGTCTACATCTGATGAAGCCAAGGCTATGATCGATGCCCATAACAAAGAGTACAATCCCACTGGTGACATGCTGTCTGAAAGCAGGTTTGGGGTTTGGTTGAAAGCATGTGGTTCACACAATAAAAGCACAAACCTGAGATAGGTGTGGAATTAAAAGTTATTCCTTCTAAATAGAAATGGTTCCAGATTCCAAACATGAGATTGGTATGGAATTAAATTATGTTTTGTTTTTTCCGTCGAAAACGATATGGTTCCAGATTCCATCCTTCATTGTTCCCCTTCCGCCCATTCTGCTTGGCGCCAGGGCGGATGATTGCGAGGTGCAAGAACCTCCGGCCAAAAAGATCAAGGTTGAGAAGTATGATGGGGAAGATCTGAGCAAACTACCCAAGCAGCCACTAGCCAAACATATTCTTGTTACCAGTTATTGCTAAATACTCATGTCGACTGCATGAAATAAAGTTGGTAAGGTGCTATTTGCCGTCTTTGGTGAAAATAGTCAATCATGATTTGTTTCTTGTCGTCATTCAGGAACCTGCTCTCAATCAACAATACCTGCGACTTGGTGGTTGGTGGGGAAGAGGGTGGTGACTTCCTGTACATCGTGTCTCGTGGAACGAACCAGTTCTTCGACAAGCGGGAGCTGCCACCTGCCTAAACATGTAGACACAACAAGCGATTTTTAGAAACACTGTTTCCATGGGGATGTCATGGGATCATTTTCACTGTTTAGGTTTAGTTTCGGCAGCGGCGATTGGCGTGATGGTGCGGAATCTAGCCAGCATTAAGATCCATTACAAGCAGGTATCCATATCCCTCCAGAAGCATTGCATATTCGGCCATGTTAGGCACTGGCTGATAGGCAAAGGAATCAAAACCAATGATTGTTTTAGATTCTATTTTGTATTAAGGAATGTGCTGATGCTACATCAGACCCTGACGGACGCTGGTTCTCTTTCTCGGTGACTGACCAGACATTCGTGATCATGGAGAGCAAACAGTGTCCGGAACATGTTCGGGGTATTGAGAACATGGACAAGCCAGCGACACTGGTTAGCATCATGTCGGACTTGGAGGATCATGGTGAGGTCCCTTGAAACCAACATGTACCAACTCATTTCCAAGGTCTTATGTGATATTTTGTTGTTCATCATCTTATTATCAATCTTTTGAAAGCTACCTGTGTTTTAAAAAGAAATCTGAAGGGAATTACATTCTATTGTTCCACTATCCCCACTATCCTCATTCAGGTGAAGCTGGAAGTCAGCCATCACCAAAAGGTGGATGGTGGGTGGAAAACTACGAAGCCCATTTGCTTTGTTCTAGATGAACTACAAGCCGAGAAGAAGAAGCCCAAGAAGGCCAAGAAAGCCGGCGTCACATCCAAAAACTTTGGTGCCTACATCAACATCTCCAAACTGAAGTCTGTGCCTTCGGTCGTGTTGGCATGGAGATGCAGGAGTCTCGCCTCAAACACAAATGATGTGTATGTGCCACAACTCAGCAGTTAAACCAACCATGTACATACACCATGCATTTTTTTTGATATCTTTGTACTTGGGCTACAATAAAAACATATCAGATTATCAAATCACCCGGACCCTTACTTTTTTGGGATTTAGCCTCTTGTGCTGGGACTATGGGGTCTCAGGCTGGATTCGTCGAGTTCATCGGGCTGCAAAGTCATCGTTCCAATCCGTCCAGTGATGTGCTTATCGGGAATGCTGGATATCTGTGATTGCACTATGCAGCTGATGTGAGGATCCAGCCGATGTTTTAGACTGTTGGTTAGGACACAAAGTCCCCAAAACCAAATTTTGAGAAAGATTAGAAACCCAGGAGATTCGCAAACAACTTGACACTATGTGGTATCTAGATATAGGACATTTATTCACACTTGGCCTAGATATAGTATATTTACTCACACTTGGCTGTGCATAGGTTTCAGAAAACAATATTTGTAGGATATGAAATAACTTTGAATTGTATTGGATGAATCTCTGGTACCATCCTATCTACAATTTCACCATGGGTGGGCATGTAAAGCGTTTTTGTGATTTCCAATCTTCTGCGATTTCACCATGTGATATGTGTATGTCAATTTTTGTATTGTGTAGCTTTTCAGTGACGCCCCCCATGTTCTCCGTCCCATGGTCAAACTAGCCTGGCCTGAAGCCGCAGTGCGAAACACAAGCGGTGCCTGGCCAAGAAAGACAAGCTTCACTTTGGGGTCAAGCCATAAATAATAGTTGGCTGCGCCTTGGAGGGAGGTCTTTGTGAAATCCCTCTGAACCTGATCTGAGAGTCTAAAAAATCAGGAATCTGATTGACCATATGACCATATGTGGAGAAAATGCCATTTGATTACAGTCCATCTTTTGTTATCATTATATTTTGCCATTAGTTCTCAAGTGACCGGCAACAGTTGTCAATTGTGTGGTCTTGGTGTTGCAATGGAAGCTTCACAGCCAAGCGATGATGACAGCGTTGAAGAGGTTCCATTAAGCAACCGTTTTCGAGCACCAGCCCATTGGTTGAACACATAAGTCTATTTTATTTTTTGTGAATACCAGAACTTCACTTTTATTCTTGGTTCTTGGTTTAATGGAATTCCAACATCATGTTCAATGGAATTCCAACATCATGTCCCACATGGTATGGATGCAATGAGGTGTTCAATCTCGGAGCTCTACTATCTCCTCCGCCCGCGGCATCAACGCCGATTCGGACAAGTTCAGCCACCCCGCCTTCGGCCAAAGCAGTTGGATCGCGTCCTTTGCCAGCCTTGCCAAAGGTGAGTGCACCAGGATTCAAATACCAAGGGCAGGGGTGTAATGGTATACTTTGCCATGACATATGTTTATATTATCTTTCCCACATATTTACTCATGACCAGTAGTGACAATATCGCCATTGCATAGTGATCTGATCGGGGATGGATCTAAAAAAGATTGGAATTTTGTCTTGTCAGGAGGTTCTTCAAGTCATGCTTTGCCACCACGGGTGTCGGCATCAGAGGCTTCTTCGAGTGAAGGTGCTCCAGACCAGAAACCAAAAAAAAAACCGCAGGACTCCAGACATCCACCAAAGGCAAGGGGAAGAAAAACAAAAAAAATCTTGATGAGGATGATGAACCTATGGACCCAAACCATACTCCAATTCAGGGTGGGAAAAACAATGACGATGATGAAGAAGATGACATTCTCGATGATATTCCCGATGATCTAGCTCCTCCGCCGGGTGCTTCCAAGAAACGCCCTGCTGCTCAGCCACGGGTTCAGAAGCGACCTGCTTCACGCCACCACAAGCAAGATGACAAGGTGGGATTCACAGTTCATAGGTCCTTTGGTTGATTACTGGTTATATTAATAGGTTCATAGGTTTATAGGTTCATAGGTTCATGATTCATGATATATATAATGGTTTCCAAAAAAATATAATTTATAGGTTCATGGGTAGGTGGTTTCACCCAGGCTGACATATTTTCAAAAAAAAAATCACACGAATAGCTCTTAATCCAAGACTATCTCTTCATCTACTGACCAGGTGGTGGCTGTGCCCTTCCAGTACCGCATCAATGTCATGAATGGGCTTGAAGCTGATGACTTCGTGTGTCTTGGCACCAAGATGATGCATCCTACATGTTTGTTAGTTTCCATGGCAAGCTTCTGCAAACATTTGCAAGTGCTAAACATGTAGGACTGATGGCTTGCCATATCCTATGTTTGAACCGAATGGAGATCTTCCTGGAGGTGATATGGCAAAGGCATCTGCTGCTAGCATTGAAGTGGTTGTAGATTCCTACAATCCCGAACTGTTTCCTGAGAATCAACTTGGGCTGCTGCCCACACCAGTTCCTTAACACAACATATTGTTGCAAATTTGGGGGACAATGTCATGACCTTCCGCCACTGTCAATGGCTATATCCCCCATCATCTCGTGTGCCTTAGGAAAGGTCAAGCTGGTTTTGGTCGCCCAACAAAACCATGTGTGCTCCTGAGCTGTCGCCGGCGGCCCCTTGGCTCATTCGTGGTGGGGTGTCTGCCAGTAGAATGATATGGATATGGATGATATTTAATGCTCATAATATGGATGATGGGGATGATGTTGATGATATATGGTGGTATATGGTGATATAAGGTGAAAATATCTACCACTAAAATTCCCTTTTTCTAATAGTTCTTTTGAAACGTAGTTATATGTCCCGGAAATCATTTCAAAACTTCAGGCAACCGTGCTGGATGAAGCTGATTCTCTGCCAACAGAGGAGCTCATCTGTGATCTGTCCACCTGTCCTACAGTCTCTATCCTTTTTTCACCATGTAATCTTGCTTGCCCAATTCTTTTTCACCTGATACTCTTACACTCTTTTTCCCATGCATTTTCTTTACCCGAACTCTCTGTGTTGCGCAGGATGCACATCGACTGGTGGTCCCACCAGAAGTTGCAGAGGATTGGCCCTCAAAAGGCGCAGAGGATCCCGGCCAGCAGCCCCAAGATGCAGAGGATTCCCACCATGCAGAGGATCCCTACCAGCAGCCCCAAGATGCAGAGGATTCCCGCCATGCAGAGGATTCCTACCAGCAGCCCCAAGATGCAGAGGATTCCCACCGTGCAGAGGATTCCTACGAGCAGCCCCGAGATGCAGATGATTCCCACCAGCAGCCCCAAGATCCAGAGGATTTGCCCACCGAGGATGCAGAGGATTCCCAACAGGTTTGCCAATTTCCAGAGCATTGGCTTTCCGAAGATTCCCAAGATGCAGAGGATTACCAGCAGCCCAAAGATCCAGAGCATTTGCCCACCGAGGAAGCAGAGGATTCCCAACAGGTTTGCCAATTTCCAGAGCATTGGCTTTCCCAAGATTCCCAAGATGCAGAGGATTACCAGCAGCCCAAAGATCCAGAGGATTTGCCCACCAAAGATGTAGAGGATTCCTACGAGCAGCCCCGAGATGCAGCGGATTCCCACGAGCAGCCCCGAGATGCAGAGGATTCCCACCAGCAGCCCCAAGATGCAGAGGATCCCTACCAGCAGCCCCAATATGCAGAGGATACCTACCAGCAGCCCCAAGATGCAGAGGATCCCTACCAGCAGCCCCAAGATCCAGAGGATTTGCCCACCGAGGATGCAGAGGATTCCTACCACAACCCCAAAGATGCAGAGGATTTGGTGCCCGAAGAAGTTGGTCTTGACGACCCGAACCAGATTCAAGCCGACAGTGCCTTGTTAGAGACGGCAGTCACCGAAACAAACTTTCAGCAGCAAGCCGCTGCCTTGCAAAGGGATTTCAAAAGGGACTCCATGAACCTCCCATGTGCATGGAATGTCTACAGAGTTGGCCAGGTCATGGAAGAAAAAGCGATGAAAAAGGAAGAAATGAAGAAAACTCAAGTGGCATCACCAGCACGCCGTCGCACCCAATCTACGCCCAGTGCATCCAGTGTGCCCAAGGCCAAGGCTGGTCCCAAGAAAGCCAAAAAGACTGTCAACAAGCACCAGAAGAGCAAAGGTAAAAAGAAACTGACAGGAGTTGAGCTGAAGAAAAAGCTTCACTCGGCCACTACACTGCATTTTATCACGAGTTAGTCAAGCAGGCAGCAGTGATGTCAAGCAGTCGCACAGTACTTACTACTTAGCTTTTTTTTTGTAAATGAGGTCTACTCTGTGGCATGGAGTACTGCCAAAGGCAAGAATCCGACTGCGGGAGGGGCAAAGTGGAAGGAGGATGCCCAGCAAGTTCGCATCAAGTTTCTCAGTTGCATTTTGATTTTGTGTATCAGAATATATGTCAAATTTATGTCAGAATATATGTCAAATGTATGTCAGAATATATGTCAAATTTATGTCAGAATATATGCCACATTTATGTCAGAATAGATGTCGAATTCATGTCAGAATATATGCCAACTTCTTGAGCCTCAAATCTACATCTACAACCCTTTGCTGAGCAGCATCTATTGAGCACCTATTGAGTGCTTGTTTATTTGCCCTCTCTTTTTTTCTGAGCCTCCTTTATTTGCCCTCCCTCTGTAAGGTGGATTTACGACAACAAATGTCAAAATGACGACGAAGCCAAGAAGTTTCTCGATGGATGAATGCATCCAAGTCTCCAAACCGACGAGCACACTGGCATGGGGTGAGCCAGAAAAAGTGCTTGCGGCTGTTTGGACAATCGTGGCCTGATACTTTGATGGTGGTGTGGTATGTTTTTTGATAATGGATGATAATGGTATGATGTTTGATGATTTGATGTTGATGATACGTGATCACATTCTCAGAGACCCACTTCCTAAATGGAAGGGAACCACTTGCAGCTGGAAAATCATATATATATATATATATGTATACGTGTGTATGAATGTAATGTAATGTAATGTAATGTAATGTAATGTAGTGTAGTGTAATGTAATGCAATGCAATGTAATGTAATGTAATGTATGTATGTATGTGCCCACATTTACATATATATATATTATATAATCATATATCTATATATACATGATTTTGTTGTGAAATCTGAGTGTACTATGGTTTTTGGCAAGACCTGTTTTATTTCTTCCAATGCATGGTGGAATCTAAGGGCGCCCGCCGTTGGCCCTCAGGAAATACAAGCGCTTCATGATGATGCGTCGCATGGCGGAAGCGCTTGGTATGGGTCATTTTTTTTCAGACCACCACAGATTTTAGTCGATTTTTCTAGTATGAGCCATCTGATTATTGGGGCTAACCAAGTTTGACCCGTACCAATATGTATGTAATATATATATATATACATGTATAAATATATATACATGTATAAATATATATATATACATGTATAAATATGTATAAATTAGGCCATGGTCAAACTGTCAAGGCACTTGGGTGCCCAGTCCTTGAGGGACGGGAAGCAGCCAAAATATGGGAGCCATGATGAAGTCCCATGGGATGACCACGGATAAGCCCTGCCAATAGGTGACTTTTCCTGGTGGTGCCCCCGGCCACGATAGCTAAGTAAACCCTAGGAAACCATAGGAAAATGATGGAAAATGTGGATTTAATGGGATTTATAGCTGATTTATGATAGCTAAGTTGGTGCAAGTAACTAAAATTCCACTATGGTTTCTGTTGGTGATATATCGAACTAGTTAATGGGTTTATAAGCCATGCTTTTTTTTTGGAGGGGGCACCACCTTGTAGGAGACCAGCTTCAGCCATGGAGGTTGGTGTCCAAACCCTCTTAGGGGTGATCACGCTTCACCAGCATTTCTTATGGGAACATGGCGGAATCAGAATCCATGAGCACATCATCATTTTGCGGACTACTCCCAAGCCATGATACCATGAGATCATAGAAGATTCCTAGAAGATTCCTAGAAGTCTGACGTGATAGGTTTGGGGGGAACTGTTGATAGTTCCTGGAACTGGATCAAGAAAAATCTGCACGAAAACTTAACAATATGTGGGGCTAAGAACCGGACTTTCTGAATCCGAGTTTCCCAGATAATACTAGATAACAATAGATAATAATAGATAATAGTAGATAACAATAGATCATAATAGAGAATAATAGATAATAATAGATAATAATAGATAGAGATATATGATAATAGATAAAATTCTTCATAATAGATGATACTAGACTCACTAGACAATAATAATAGATAAAAATATATCATAATAGATGACACTAGACAATAATAGATATTCATAGGGAATAGATCACCCCAATCCAATGAGTTCTCCGATGCCCAGGGGAAGACGACTTGGTCCGTGAATGCCCCTACTGCAGCCACCTGAGTCGCCCCAATGTGGTGGCCGGAGAGAGCCTTGGCCTTCCAGGTCATAGGGGCTGGCATAACCGCAGAACCCATCATTCATATGGGGAAAACCCTAAAGACATCTGGGAAAACCATGGAAAAACCCTAACATTTCATACATTTCATGGGTTATCATCATTTTCCCCATTGAAATTTCTGAAACGGCAATTTTCGGGAGGCTTGCGATATACCGGTATACCCCATTTTCAGACACACCCAGATGATGGTTTGATGGTTTCTTGTAGTGTTTAATTAGTTTGGCTTTAACTGATGGTCAGACGTGAATTGTGTGAGTGGATCATGGGCACACAGGCAACAGCTTTGTTTCGCTGGACAGCTTTGATTCAATCAATTCTTCGTGCACTGAAATGCACCGAAATGCACCAAATGCGAATGTGGAAATGCCGCTACTCAGATCTGGGCACTGTGGGGATTTTATTACCTGGACCTCGTAATCGTAACCCAGAACTTGTACCACATGGTTTTTTCTGCGCGTTTGTTGACATGTTTAAGATGTGCATCAAAACAAAGGTTGTTACATGTCTTGTGTACCAACGCAAGGTGCAGGAAGAATTTATAGCGTGTAAGACACCAAAGAAGATAGAACCACATCACCAGCATGGTATAGATTATGTTTTTTCCTTGAATTCTAGGTGTCCAACGTGTTCTCAAGCTTTTGGTGGTTGCTACATTCTCTTCCAGGGATTGTTTTAGTTGAGCTCAAGAATACCAAGCCAGAGATCTGGATCAACTTCGCCAGTACCCATCGGATATGCAACATAGTTTGGCGGAACCAATAACCAACTTTTACCAGTCTCAGATATTCTTAGTCTTAACCATCTAGAATTTCCCGGCTCCTAAATGTTGACTCATGCATATGGGTTTGTCTAAACGGTACTTACAACCCCATTTTGGGGCCCGAACCCCAATATGGCCATTAGAGTCCCATGAAGCACCGATAAAATCATGATATACATACTAATACACATATATGTAGAGGCCGCAGCGAACAGCTTTTGTTTGCGCCTGGAGGGAAGAAACCAGTCAAGGTATATATTTATATAATTTTATATACATATATACATATGTGTATATATATATATATATATTGTTATCCCAAAGTGGTCGTGTCGACTAGTTGGACGAAACCAGGTTTGAACGTTTTTGCTGTTGGGGCAGTGTTTTGGCTCATAGGTTTGGATGTCCGGCCCTGCTTGCAATAAGTGTAGGCAGGAAGCAGGACATCTGGGTGACAGCTGGTGCCTGTGCTGCTCAGCAGTTGAGGCATTAAGCGGTGAGCTTCGTGCCAACTGGGGGGGTGCTGGAACTCGGAGAGTGGCTGCTGACATCTTGTCGAGTGCAGTCCGCCAGTTGAGGGCTTTGCGCCGCTTGGGGATCGCTGGGGCCGGTCAAGGCCAGGCCCGGCGAGAGGTTGCTGGCGGAAGCCGTGCAACCACCCCAAGGTGCGAGGTCCCAGAGCCTGAGCACCCCCCTAGGGCTGAGGCAGCACCAGGAACAGGAGAAGGCACCGTTGGAGGAGTGAAAGAAGAGGACAAGGGTGATCCAGGTGACTTGGAGAGTCAGGAAGAAGAAGAAGAGAGCGACGAGGAGGAAGCAGAGCCTCGTGCGCCGGCTGCAGCGCCGAAGCGCAAGGCTGAAAACGAGGACAGGTCGCCAGTGCCGAGGAGGCGCCTTCAATCCTTGCCACCACCGCCGTCGCCCCCACGAGGTGAAAGTCGAGGTGAGCGTGCACGTGAGAGGAGCCGCAGGCGCGACAGGTCAGTTGAGAGGAGAGGTGAAAGGCGTGATAGACGCCGAGAAGAGACAGAGGACGACGACCGACGTCACCCACCTGAAGGAGGAGCAAAGAAAAAGAAAAAGAAGAAGAATAAGAGTCACCGTGCAGGGAGCAAACATCAGCGCCTGTACCGTGCTGAGACCAACCCGTATCAACGGTTGCACTATAAACCTCCTGGTTCCTATTGGGACCAGGGTCCTTCAAACCTTTAGCAATGGCAAAAGGAACAGGAGACGAAGAGGGAACTCTGCCCTTTGGGGTTTCCGAAGGGGCAGAAATAAAGTTGGGAACCTTGGCATGGAAACGGCTTACTCCAGTGGTAGGCTCCGTGCTCGAGGTTTGCTTGTTGAATTCATCAATTGGACTGGGGGCAGAAGATTTGGTTTGCCCTGCTTGTGACAGAATGGACTGGACTTCCAGACGAGATGGGAAGGACAGTCAAAGGACAGTTTTTGGGCGTCGAGAACGAGCTTTACTCAGAAGAGGTTCAGGCCGCGGTTGCAGAAGCTGGAGTTCATCTGTGCGGAGAGAGTCCGTGCAGTCTAGGAACAGATGCGACCAAAGTGCACGCTACAATAGTGAGATGCTGGCACCCAGTCAGGTTCGATGCAGACTATATGACTGGGGAAGGAAGAAAGGTTATCAAGAAGGCTGTGGCTGCACTGAAGAAAGAGGCTGCGGAGTTGAAAAAGAAAACGACGAGAGCGCCCCCAAGGAGAAGGGCTGCCACTGGTTCCAGACCGAAGGCAAAGGCCAAGGGTCAAGAGGAGAAGGATGTAACTTGCATCGAATTGGACTCAGAAGGAGATCTCGAGGCAGAGGTTGTGCCTGGGGAGGCTGGTGTGGACCGTGCCACCCTGCGCAAAATGCTGGCCTCCACCCGAGAGCGCATTATGGGTGGGGGCATAGGAGTTGGGAACAAGGACGTGGCAGAGGCTGCAGCTGGTGGAAGGAAGCGAAAAGATACCGACTGTGCTCCAGCAAGGAGGGGTCTCATGGCTGGGACTCATTTGGTTCCGGGCCACGGGACCAGGCTGGCCCTCGAAGGATCGGGGGCTACAAAAGATGGAGAGGAGAACAACTGGATGCAGAAGATCAAGAAAGGAGGATCTACGTCAGTACAGCTGCTGGCCCAAGCCGTGCAGTCAGCACAGATTGGAGAGCGACGGAGAAAGAAGAAAGAAAGAGAGAAGAAGGGGCCGATAGATCAGCTTGTGAAGCTTCTGAAAGGAGACAAAGGAGACAAGAAAAAGAAAAAGAAGAAGAAGAGAAAAGATCGGCCGAGGCAAGGAGGACATGGCCTTCTACGGGTGAAACCCGACCCTGGAGGATCTGGGGGATCGGGTTCAAGCAGTTCAGACAGCGAGAGTTCATCAGCAGCTGGCGGAGGAAAGGAAGGAGATTCAGGGGAGGACTCCGATCTTTCATGCGAGCCTCCCTTGAAAAAGAAGGCCAGCAAAGATCCAGGAAGCGTACTAGCTATGTTGGTGAGGCATGCGCAAGAGCAGCTGGACAAGGGAGCGCTGATGGAGGAAGAAGGAGGCAGGAGCTCAGTTGTGACGGGCATAAAGATTGCCACGTACTTTGGCCTGTTGATCAGGCCATACCACCCTCAAGGGAGTCCCCTTCTCAGGGAATTGTACTCACTGGCTCAAGCGATAGACCTACTGAGGCAGGGAAGGTTACCCGAAGGAGGATGGCAGACGGCGTCTCAGCTGGAACTACATCCTCTAGAACCTGTTCAGAGCACCAGCACAGCTACAATGTTGCTGGCGCAGAAACACCGGCGGCTGGTCTTGAAAAGCCAAGGGGTGGCACCGGGCCGCTGGTGGGGAGGAGGTCGAGGAAAAGGTTATGGAGGCCAGGAGAAGGGGAAGAAAGGAGATCCCGGGAAAGGCCGGGGAAAAGGCAAAGGCAAAGGAGGGAAGGAGAGCAGCTGGGGAAACAAAGGAGAGAGCAACCCATGGAAGGAGAACAAAGAAGAGGCGCCGAAGAAGTAGGAGAGAAGGTTGAAAAGGAAGTTTCACTGTTGCATGATGCTGAAGGGCAGAGTCTTGGGCTGGCTAAGGCCGTGCCATCTGCAGTGGTAACCTGGAAAGGTACAGCAATCTTTAAGCAGGTCCTGGGCCGGTGCACTACTCTTGATGAGGTTGGAAGAGCTCTGGCCTGGGTCCTGTTTAACTGTCCAGGTGAGGGTATTACAGATGCTGCAGTTAGGTCGGTTAGTATGGTGGTGCGAGGCCGGCAGAAAGCCGTAGTTGCCATGCACCGGGGTCCTGGCAAACACCATCGATCCCTGTTTCCAATGCCCCTTGGGACTTTGTCGCATGTGAGAGAACAGGTTCAGCGTTGTGGGCTGGATGAATTCAGCGACCCGCATTTTGCGGGAATTGCAGGAACACAGGTTTGGCAGGCGCTTTCATTGGGAGCTTTGAATGGGTTGGCTGGTTTTGACCGTGCCCCCAGTGGAGGAAGGGGGACAGAAAGACAGAAGAAGGCGGTGGAGAATTTAGGGCATATGGTGCAACATGCGCTGAAACAGCCCTTTGTGCTGGACCGGAGCGCTGCGGCAGCAGAAAAAGAACTGAGTGGGCGGTTTTTGACTTACACGGGAGAGGAAGTCCCAAAGATGCAAGTTCTAGGTAAAGAACAAGTGGAAGCTGCTCTTCCTCCAAAAGGTCATGGGGGTTCTATCTCGGCAGTTGACTTGGTTTGTGAGGGGACTAAGCGGTTTTTGTTGCATCCGGAAGAATCCTTGTTGAGTGAACCCATAGGAGGTGAGAAGTTGCAGGCTAAGGTGCATATTGTTCATGATGATCGTAAGTCGCTCTGTGAGCTTTTGGTGGAACGTAATATTTGTGTATGGGTACCAGAAGATGAAGTTCTGCAAGTAGGATCACAACGCGTCTTGAACGGACTGTTTGCAGTGGGGAAAGGAACTCACCTCTCGAATGGACGAGGGGAAATACAGCGTTTGATCATGAATTTGAAGCCTTCAAACTCAGTATTTCATCAGGTTCAAGGATCTACCGGAGATCTTCCAGCTATCACTCAATATCTGTCGATGTTGGTTTCAGGGTCAGAGCAAGTGGCATTTTTCCAATCTGATATGAGCAGTGCGTTCTATCTTTTTAGGATTCCTGCGGTGTGGTCGCGATATTTGAGTTTTAACATCTGTTTTAAGGGTTCTGATGTTGGCTTGCATGGTGATGGATTGTTTTATTTGGGTTGTTCAGTGATTCCGATGGGCTGGAATTCAGCGGTCAGTGTAATGCAAGAAATCGCTGAACGCCTTGCGGTGCTGGGAAGGTTGCCCAGGGAGCATCAAGTGAGACGGCGGGCCCCACTGCCTCCATGGATGGTGGAAACTTTAGAGACGGCGAAGACTCAAGAGCAGACATGGTTTCATGTATATTTGGATAACTTCTGTTGTATGGAAAGAGGCAATTGCACTTCTGGTTTTTCCCGGGGTGAAAACATGCATGAGATGCTGGAGTCAGCATGGGATCGGCAGGGAGTGGTCTCATCGGCTAAAAAGAAAGTGGTGGCAAGCATGAAGACACAAGAGCTGGGGGCAGAGTTGGACGGAGCCGCTGGAGTTTTGGGGCCTAGTGTGGAGAGACTGCTCAAGCTAATACAGGTTACCTTAGTAGTACTAAGTAAACCTGTGTTGAGGCGAAAATGGGTACAAGTTATTGCTGGACGATGGGTGCATATCTTGTCGTTCAGAAGACCGGGGATGTCCTTCTTTGATGATCTCTGGAAATTTGTTTCGGGAACTGAGAAAGGAGTGAAAATAGAGATGAAGACAAGGGCAGAACTTTTTGGAGTGATGATGGGTGCATTGATGTTACGAACAAATCTGAGAGCTGAAATTTCATCAATCACAACGGCCAGTGATGCCTCCATGACAGGTGGAGCTGTAGGGCGCAGTGATGAGCTGACTACGGAAGGTGCTACCTTTGCTAGCATGGATAGAAGGGGCCTGACTACTGGGAAACAAATACCAGTATTGGTGCTGTCATTGTTCAATGGAATAGGGTGTGCTTTCAGATGTTATGACCTGTGTGGGCTGATTCCCGCAGTGGCAATATCTTACGAGACAAATGGCGATGCAAACAGAATTACTTCAAGGCGCTGGCCTGCAGTACGACAGTGTGGGGATGTGAAGACACTGACTGTTGATGAAATGCGATCATGGAGGTATCTGTATCCAGAGATAGTAGAAATACACTTATGGGCAGGATTCCCTTGTGTGGACTTGACGGCAGTCAAGTGGGGGCGAATGAATTTGAATGGCGAATCCAGCGGTTTATTTTGGGAAGTTGTTCGAATCCTCAAAGAGCTGAAGCAAATTTTTGGATTCGACTTTGTGATAAAATATGTCATTGAGAATGTGGCCTCGATGGATCGGTCAGCGGAGCAGGAAATTACTATGACTTTGGGAGTCTAACCTTTGAAATTCGACCCGGCGGATGTCGTGCCCATTCACAGACCTCGTTTTTGTTGGAGCAACCTGGTTGTGGAACGGATGGACCATGTTTACTTGGAAGAAAAAGAGCACTGGATTGAAGTTCACATGGAGCATGAGTACCCCCGAGAAGAGCAATGGCTCTCGCCGGGGGCTGTTTGGCCAGGAGGTGCTTGGGGTACAGTGTTACCAACAGCAATGAGAGCAATCCGTCGTACACGGCCGCCACCTAAGCCGGCAGGATTGGAAAGAGCATCCCAAGATGCGATCTGGAGATGGGAGGCAGATGAATTTCGATTCCCTCCCTATCAATATGCTGACCAATTTGTTATTTGGGTGGAAAACAGGTGGCGGCTGGTGGATGCAAGTGAAAGAGAACTGTTGCATGGACTCGGGTTCGGTCATACAAGTTTATGTTGGAATGCTGGTAAAATTAAGGGAGATCCTAGGGGTTTTGAAGATGTGAGGAAAAGTTTGATTGGAGACGGATTCAACTGTTTTTCTTTTGCGTATGTGGCAGCGCTGGTGACATGGAAGTTCCATACCATTGGTGATTATTCGTTGCTTTGGGATAGAATGGGCATGGCACCTGGTTTTTGTTGTCCGGTTAACATCAAGTGCACTTTGGGAAGATCTTTGCAATATGGGGAACTTCTGGGTCAGCAACACATTCAAGATCTTCATCGGTGTTTGTTGAGAAGGACTAATCACACGGGATCTGACATAAGAATCACAACTGGGACGGTAATGAATCCTCGATGTTTTCCGCGGCAAAGCGTGGCTGCAGACTGGTGGCAGTGGCAGAAGGTGTTCGCTTATAGATGGGGTAAACAAGAACATATCAATAGCTTGGAATTGCGTGCAATTCTCCACAGTGTGGAATGGCGCATTAACCATTTGAAAGAATGTGTTGTTCGGGTTTTTCATTTGACTGACTCGTACATTTGTATGAGTGTGATAGGAAAAGGTAGGTCATCATCGCAGATGCTACAGCCTCTTCTTAAACGACTTGCCGCGTTGCTCATGGCATATGACTTATACCTCTGCACTTGCCATGTCGAAAGTCTCGACAATCCCACTGATAAGGCGAGTCGAGACTGATGAAGCGCAAGGAGGCAAATTTTTGGCCAGGGCAGGCTTCTCAGGCTGATAGGCGTCGAGCCAGAGAAAATATTTGCCTCACTGATGTGGGAGTGACAGAAGGGACGTTACAAAGGTACTACTATGCAGTTAGCCGTTTGGCACCAATTTTGGAAGTGGTGAATACTGAGTTTGAGCTGGACACAGAGATTGCAGAGTGGATTCAACAGGAGTTTGAGGATGGCTGTCCTCTACATTTAGTAGGGGACGCGCTATCTGGGCTGCACCATCTGGACCCTTGCACGCGAAAGAAATCCCGCGCAGCTGGCGCCTTTACGGAATTTGGAGGAAATTTGAAGTCCCATGCAGGGCACCTCCCATTCCTCAGGACATATGCCTGGCCATGGCGGGTTGGTGTATACAGCGAGGTGAGCTGGTCATGGCCGGGCTTATCTTACTAGGCTTTCATGCCTTACTACGTACAGGTGAGCTGCTTCAGGTGCGACCGTGTGATTTCATAATGGGAGAAACACACGGTTTAGTTTCTCTTCCTTCAAGCAAAAGTGGTGTGAGGAATAATGTGCGGGAGAGTGTCAGTTTGCATGACCCATGTACAGTGGAAACAGTGCGTGCAATGATCCAGCTGCAAAGTGAACGACAGCTGGACAAAGTTCCGTGCTGGGTTCATAGTGGCACCTCTTTCAGGACGCTTTTCAAGAAGATCTTGTCCGAACTGCAGGTGGAAGACTTGGGTTTCAGACCGTACTCGCTTAGGCGGGGCGGAGCTACTTTTGAGATGGCTTCACATGGCCTGATGGAGAAAACTCTCATTCGTGGGAGGTGGAAAAATAGCAACATTGCTCGAATTTATATCTCTGATGGTCTCTCGCGTCTTCCTAGTTTGAAGATGACCTGGGAGGCAAAATTTAAAGTTGCTAAGTTTTCGTCGGTATTTACCAACGAGCAGCAGAGTTTTTCTGCTGGGAAGCGTGGAAGCAAGCGTATGAGATCCCCGAGAAGGTGATTCTTATTTGTTTTGATCCTGCTTTGGATCAGGCCGAGCCTTTCCTCCCTTTTAAAAGGGGGTGGCTGGTGTGTCATGCTCTGCTTTGAGCAAGAGAAAAGTTGAAGCCCTGCTTTGGGCATGGTTAACTAAGGAATTAAAGAGTTTCAATGGTACCATGACGTCAAATCTGATGTCATGGATTGCACTACCAACGTGCATGGCAAAAAGGTGAGTCCGCAGCTTGAGTCCAAAGTGGTCGTGTCGACTAGTTGGACGAAACCAGGTTTGAACGTTTTTGCTGTTGGGGCAGTGTTTTGGCTCCCACAACCACCCTCCCAAGGGGCCGGAAGCAAGCGTATGAGATCCCCGAGAAGGTGATTCTTATTTGTTTTGATCCTGCTTTGGATCAGGCCGAGCCTTTCCTCCCTTTTAAAAGGGGGTGGCTGGTGTGTCATGCTCTGCTTTGAGCAAGAGAAAAGTTGAAGCCCTGCTTTGGGCATGGTTAACTAAGGATTTAAAGAGTTTCAATGGTACCATGACGTCAAATCTGATGTCATGGATTGCACTACCAACGTGCATGGCAAAAAGGTGAGTCCGCAGCTTGAGTCCAATATATTAGATTCCTGTGAAGTACCTAATCATTGTAGCATACGCATGATATGTACGCTTAGCCCAATGTATTAGATTCCCATGAAGTACCAACTTTGAAATATATTTATATATATATATATATATTTACAATAATAAATAATATACATATATTCGGTGTGTATATAGATATTCGCTGTATGGTGATCCCAATACATATATATATATATATATTTGATTCCATGAAGTACCTATACAATCACTATGTATATATATAGATATGGTTACACCATGTTACACCGATATATTAGATGCTTATGAAGTACCTAATCAGTATATCTATATATTCAATGTATGTATATATATATACATATATATATACATATATATATATACATATATATATATATATTACGTATGGCTATCTTAATTTGATATGTATATACAATCATATATTCCGCATATGTATAGCATGGCCCCTGAGGATCACAGCAGAGATGGTCTGCCCTGCGTGCAGCCAATTGTTCTGACGCTTGGGGCAGAATGCTTATATATGTATGTATATATGTATATATATATATAACCGTCATTAACCACCATTACCCATCATTAACCATCATTAACCATTATTAACCATCATTAACCACCATTAACTATCATTAATTGTTACAGGGGATAATAGTAGGATAAACATGGTATATTAATGGGATCATCATTGGATAATGGGATATCTAACCAATGTGATTAAAACAATGCCGTAAACCACCCATGACTGGGAATGGTAAACATAGCACCTTTAAAAATGGTGATGACTCGGGGATGATTTATGGCATTGTTTTAACCACATTATATACATATATGTATTTTAAGCGGTATAATCCAATAAAACACTTTTCTTAATGCTTCAAAGGTTAGGTAATTAAATTATTTATTAATCATCAGTTTCTATCATTTTTCTTAATCATTGTTGATAATGTTAATGATTAAAATTTTGGAAAAAAAAAACATCACATCCTGGTCGACTTTGTGGTTGGTTCATGACGGTTGATTAGCAACACTACTATGAAGATCCTCTGGTAATGACTAACGGTTAGCTATTGAAAATGGCCCAGTCGAAATAGTGGATTTACCCAGCTAGAACATGGTGATTTTCCATAGTTTTTTTGCATGTTTACCAGAGGGTATATATGAAGTATAATATTATTCCATCCGTGATTGTTAAGAATGTTTTCATCATGGTACCTTTATTGTCAATGATTCATGGTAACATTTGACACTAATCCCATAAACACACGAAGATTCTATGGCTGTTTGAAATAGCTATGAAACCCAATAACATTGTGGTTTAATAAGGCATGAAAGGTATAAGTCAAGTGTCAAGAGGCAGTCAATGATTGTTGATAATGGTGCTAATATGATCAATGATTAATTGTAATGGTGAATACAATAATGGCTAATCATGATTATGATTGATCATCGATTTTTAATAATTGCTTTAATGCTGGTCAATGATTGTTGACAATGTTGAGTATTTTAAAGGATTGTTAATCATGGAATCATGATGGTTGCGATGGTCCTTTTTTGGGTTATGAAACCACCTTAGAAGAAACAGCACTTCCCATCTCAGGATTCCAAATTCAAGGCCTAGGGGACCATTCGAATTAGCACCGAGGCTACTACCATTCCAACGCCCATGCCGGGAGACCGTGCGATGAGTGCCGTTGGGGCTGCTGTTGTCACCAGTGGATGACTGATGTTGACAGCTGGCCACCCTGCCAACTTGAGTGGCTGCACTTGGCTGAATTTCCGGAGTTTCCAAAGTTCATGTCTGTATATTTTCTCCAGGACTACTTCATTGATGATGAAGCTTTCTTGAAACTTTCAGTTAGGTTGACATGAGATGTTTTAACTGTGTGTAGGAAGCGGGGCCTGTGATGTGTCACTTTATTGCTCACCTTTTCCGTGGTTCTCAAGTTTGACCGAAATTCTCAGGTGGATGTGAAATTCAATCATTGATATTGATAACTCCGACATTTTCCCACTGTATTGTCTAGAGTCTAGCTGCTTCTGTAGGTTCTGTATAATGTGATAAACCCAATCATAAACCATCCCAACAATCACCATTCTTGTGTCTTCTATGCTTACCCCAAATGAAACCAAATGATAGGTTTATGGAATTGGGTTTCCCACACTTACAATATATTCCCAATAAATTTCTTGGGTCCAGGATGGACCTCACGCGAGAGGCCGTTTGCTCCATTGGTTGGTTGCATGGTTAACGGTTAACCGACCATTTTCTGGGTCAAAAGAGTCAAATGAGTTTTCCAGGTTTGTCTACCTACCTGCCTGCCTGCCTGCCTGCTTCTATCTACCTATCTATGTATCTATCCATTTGCCCATCTATCTATTTATCTAATTTATCTTTCAATTATCTATCTCTATCCATTTATGATCTATCTATCTATTTATCTATCTATCTATCTATCCATCTATCGATCTATCGATCTACCGATCTATCGATCTATCTATCTATCTATCTACCTAACTAAACAGATTTGGGAATAATATAGGCATATGTACCTATATGTGAGACATACTCAGAATCTAAAAACAGCAGTATACAGTCCACACTCCAAGAGGATTCTATGTATCTACAAGTGTGGTAAGCCCAATGCCCCAACAAAAAATCAGGGTTTGGTTGTTTTTCAGCCATCTTAACCAACTTAGACCCTGCCAGTAGAGTGCGGCTGCGATCTAGCCCTGTTGGTTGATGATGAGTTCGGGAAGTATACTACCCAATTTTTTGTTGGTGATTATACCGTATAATCCAAGAACAGGGAATCCCTACCAACCAGTATTTCATGCAATGACAGAGGGGTTTGTTTTGAACACTGCTCATGTTGCAAATAAATACATCGTATACGGAGAGTCAGACAGATATATCAATGCGTATCTGAATTATTGCCCTCTGGTAATTCAACATAGCTATTATGGACAATAGCCCACCCAGTTCCATGATTTATCGTGTTTTTTTGCAAATATAGTGATTTTCCAGTTTGCAAATCATGACAGATTACCAGAGTGTATGTGAACATATGTGGAGTGTGCATTGAGATAGATCTATATCTATAGATGGACATCTAAGATCTACATATTTATCTGGGTATATATATATATATACAATGATATATATATATATCATTTAGATTTCTATGAAATACCCCCAACTCATCCAGGTGTCATGGATGACGACCATTGAAACTTAACCGTTGTTTCAACGGTTGAACGATCTGACGACCTGACGAGGTACAGCCGCCAGATCTCTCGGCAGCTCAAAGAGATGAAATCCAGCGGCCCGTGGCCTGGTGTTCGGCCGGATGTGGGGGGCCGCCACGTGCTCCAAATCCCATGACGGATCCGGCTGGTGCTGGTAGAAAAATGCTAACATAAAGGGGGTATATTGATGGGATCCATGTTAGCATATATACATTATATACCAGCACCAGCCGGATCCGTCATGGGAATGAGGCTTCCATCAATGGGGGATCCCCCAAGCGAGCTATGGATGGTAACTGGATGGTGTATAAATCATGGAAAATCCCATGGAAAATCACATGGATGATTTAGGGGCTACCCCCATGAATTGGAAGCCACCAAATCTAAAACGGATGTTTTCGGAGAAATTCACCAGAATGGAACGGGAAATCCCTGTTGATCTTCTACAATCTTGGTAAAACTAATCCTGAAGGCCACAAACAAATCCCTTGTTTTGTGACATGTTATGCACAACTGACGAGGAATGGAACGGGATGGCCTGGGCGACCCCAAAGGGCCAGATCTGGTGCGACCATTTCTGGCCTGGACTCTGCTGAAACTGTGGATGATTTTCATTTTTTTGAGTCCACCAAAAAAAACAATCAGACCAGTTTGAAAAGTAATGACATAGTTATATACATAGTTGAGGTGACGTGAAAAGAATCCCTGAGGCAAGTGGGAAACATCCATCCGCTTCATCAGTTTGGGGCCCACTTAAACCCTTGCATCTTGATGATCTGAGCGTACTTGGCCAGCAGTTTCACATCCGTAAGGACTCAAATTGTAAGGTTCACAACTTCTTGGGTCGTCCATTCAGAATTCCAAGAATTATAATTAAAAAGTGACGTCGGCTAAACAAGCATTCTGTGACAGCCCGTATTGCACGATATCTCACTGCTTCAGATGAGCTGTGCAGCAAGAGAGTTGCTTGATGTTGCTGAAAGTCTGAAAGGCTTTGCTCAGCATCAACTAATCAACTAGACTATGTGTGTTTCTTCGCACAAATTGCCGTTAGATAGTGTTTTCAGCTCCCCCAACAAATAAGAGGATCAATCCTGAATGGCCGCAGCAAATCTCCGTTGTTTCAGCTGTCATCTCAGGTTGGCAGATGCAAAGCAATGTCCAAAGTGTGGCCTGCACACCGTGTACCTTGGACGAAGTTTTCCACAGTTTCTGTCCGGAAAGCCACGGCAAAAATATGCAA